CACCCCCCAACCTAGACTGCCATGCTTCTAACGTTATTTATCTCATCTATTGTATTAAGTGTAACCATGGAAACTACATAGGTGAAACGGGTACCAAAATCAATAATCACAAATGCACTATTAGACGCAAAGACATGAGCAAATCTGTTGCAGCTCATTTCAGTTTACCTAACCATAATGCCAGTGACATGCGATTTATTATTCTACAAAGTAATTTCATATCTACCAAAGAAAGACGTAGTGCGGAAATCCGTTGGATTCTCCGCCTAAAAACCCACAAAAAAAGGTTTTAATAAGGACATGGGCTTTGCCAGTGAATATACATTCATCAAAGATATTAATTAAACAAGCCTATACTTTGTTTACTCCAGCCCTATTTCATTTCCTGTATATTTATTTTTACTATGCTACAGACTTCACTATATATATATTTTATATCATATTTTATATTTCTGTTCCATATTTTTTATCCATATAATGCTTTATTTTACCTATTTATAATTTTCCATTTCCTGCTTATATCCTATTTCTCTATTTGTTTAGAAGCCATCCCCTCACAGTCAGCATATCGTGGGAACAGCCATTATCTGCTTTCTCATTCCTTATTGTTTATCTATACTCAGCATTAAGGCATTGTCTTTGCTAGTATTAGCTTTCTTACTTTAGATAACAACCCAGCTCTCTAGTTAATTCTTATTTACTAGTTTGACTACATTCGTTGCGAGCTATGCTACACGATGTATTATTATGTCCTTTATTCGAACACTGTATTTACCTTTCTTTGATGATTTATGTATATAGTTTATCTAATTTTCTTTCCTCCATGGTTTAACAGTGTTAACGGCTACCTTGATTTATATTTCAGTGTATGCTATTATTTGTTTCCAGCCGTACTTATTGTGTAATGGAGTGTATCTGGTGGTATTAAATTGGAATGCCAAAGATTTAATTTAGTGTACTGGGAGAACGTTCCTAATAGAGTCCAAATGTTGTGGTGGTTTTAAGTAAAAGTTCCCAGTGGTTCTCTTTATCTTTGCGATTTCTGAGTGTGTCAAATGATCTAATCAGTAAATTTTTAACCCCTTGTATTACTAATTTTAGGGGGCCTACAATCCGAGATTAAAAATCACAATATTAATTCATTCAAATTTTTTCTTGGTCCTTAAGGATATCAGTATAGGCCCACTGTGTGTGTTACTTTAAAGCTAATAATAGGATTTATTACCATACTTTTTCTGCCTTCTTTCATATAAGATGTGGCTCTTAATCTTGTGTACTTTCATATAGAATTCAAATCCATAGCGCAACCCTCAACTTGATTTTTAAGTAAACATTCTATTCATTCTAATATCTGTATAGCTCTGAAATCCAGGACAATATATAACTTTTGTTGTTTTAATTACATTTATATTGTTTACATCATAAATGTATTGCATTTGCAATGCAAATTATTGTTACAATTTACTTTAATATATATTGTAACTCGTTCTTAGCTCAGCCAGGGAATATGACTGCTTCCTTGGTCAACCAAAATAAAATTATAAAGAATCGATTTCCTTATTGTAGGACTACATGCCAAACCCCATATTATATACAGTACATAATTGTACAATGTTATAAGCCGTATATATTATATTTATATATACGGTATATGATAATTATATATACGGTATATTATATTTATATATACGGTATATTATATTTATATATACGGTACATTCCGCAAAACCTCGAATGGGCTGCTTTTTATGATCTTTGGTTGCAGTGGTGGTGCCAGGGGAGGGGGGTTTGTTTCGTTATAGCCTAAATCGTGTGGGAATTTAATGCTAAAATAAAATAATATTGATACCGACACGCTCAGGGATTTTTGGCAGACATGAGACTTTTTAAAATTCCGTCCATAGGTGTATGGTGATCGATCTCCTCCCCCACCACTAAGGATTTTATTCCTTACATGCTCGAAATTGCATTCAGGATTCGCATTTTTCCCTTTTACTTGAGAATAAAGTAGGCCTACGTGTCTTTAAGGTTGCCTGCACATGCTTTTTTTTACACTGACATGAGTGGCAATGTGTACGTGTCCTTTGATCTCATCCGACAGCACTTATAAAACAACATACAGTATCTGCATGTTAGTGCAGCTGGTATACATGATGTTACCATATTTTAAGTAGCTGTACTACAAATGGAGAATCTTTAGTCAAACAGCTACAACGATCACAAATAGCATACATATATATTTTATAATATTGGCATTACATTGCATGAGATTCTGGTCTTTAACCGTGAAACAGCCCTCAAATGCAGGAGTGTCACAACGAATGTGATGGTAGGTCTGAACGCTCACATAGGTGTAGTATGGTATATTTTACACGGCACATTTGTGATTAGTGAGGGCGCACTGGCACAATATACAATGTTGCATGTTAGTAGCACCTTCTGCATACCTGTATCTCTCAAGGTGTGTAAATATTATAAATGAAATCACAAAACCAAATGTGCATATATAATAGTATACTTTAATTAATCTGTACCACTATACATCATTTCATATACACAATATTTTTACAATAGATCATTGCAAAATTAATATATTTTAAAAATTCTATTGACAATTAATATTTCCATAATGAAGCTAGCAAAAACATAATAAGAGAAAATAAATATGCTGTAGCTGTTTATTTGCTTTTTTTGGATCTGGTGGAACCTCTTGAGGTTGACCTATTGGAAGCTTGTGAGGGAGGTCGTTGCTGGGATCCAGGCCTCCTGGTGGACGGTGATGGCGCTGTTGGTGGAATAGGTGAATGCATGGGGAGTTGAGCCTGGGCAGACGTTGGTACTGCTGATGCAGGAGCAGAGCTCTGTGCCTGTGAATTTTCAACTGCTGATGGTGCTGGTGTGCCAATTTCAGACTGACCGGGTGTAGCGCTCTTTCTTTCCAGGGCACGTAATTTCTCGAGAGCAGTCGCCAGCTCCTCTTCTAGTTGTACCACTCGATTTTCTGATTTTAAAGCTCGTTCTTCAGTAACTCTTAAACACAAGCAAGATAGAAGATAAGTAATTATTAAATAACTAATTAATTCATTAAAAAAAAATTGACCTAGCTTTTGTATTACCATTATGTTAAAACAGTGCTGGCCCTTTTGTTTACTGCCATTTTGTATTTTCCAAACATGGATGAATTGTCATATGATTACTGTATATATTTATTATTTATTTACATTGAATTTATTGTATTATGTATGAAAAAATATTAAAATATTATACTTTGTTGAAACATATAAATTTAATACTGGAATTATTTTACTTGACATTTACAAATGCATAAATGTTTCCAACTATATACAGTATTATTTGCAGAGATCTGCAAATTGTTTGGTTTTTGTGGCAGATGTCTATAATTTGTATTGTATATAGTGGTTTTAGCCACTGTTCATTTTAACTGTATCTTGGATATTTGCAATAAATTATATTGTCATAAATCAATGAAAACTTATTTCCACAGTGAGTATCTTAATGGAATAACTTATATCAAGGAGGGATTAGTAAAATAATTCCTCCATGCTTATATCTGATCCTTTTAAATGAGCATTTAAATATTTCGGTTGAATTTTTAAAGGGATTTGCCCAGGAAGCATGAAATTCAACTTACAGCAGTTGGTCTTGCAAAGAGTTAACAGCTGCTAAAGCTTCATAAGCTTTTGAGGTGTCAGGTGTGGCAGATCTTGTGGTACCGACTGTAGAGGGTGCTTTAGATTCCTGTGAAAGCAAATGTAGTACTGTACTGAATTTTCTTTTGAGTACTACCAGTTTTGTATCTAATCTTCTACCATGACAATAAATACATTAGTGATTATTGCAACAAACTTGATGCGTTTGTTTACCCCCTTCATCTGCTGTCAATAGCAGATACAAATACGATAATGATTGATAAAGGTGACAATAAAGATCGATCTACTGCATGCTTTCTTACTACAAGGCCTAAAAAAAAAATTGTTTGTTTGCCCTTTTTTTTCTAAAAATGATCAGACAACTTTAGACTAATTGTAGGGTGTCTGGCAAAAAGTAAAGATAAATTCACTCACATTTTTTTTAATTTGTAAAGAAAAAAGATAAAAAATACGGTTTTTTAAATATTTTTTTTGTTTTTCCGCCCCATATTTTTTTCAGTGAATTAGGGGTGGGTGGAGAAGGGCAAACAACCAATTTTTTTTTTTACCTAATACAGCTTATTAGAATTTTAATAAAATGCCATTTGAAATGATTATAAAAAATTATTATGGTTGTAAAGTATATAGCTTATCGCTTTGCGTTAAGAACGTAAATGTAAACAATACAATGATATGCACACACACGCACAAGTATAGTTAAGTTCCAACTCCCTTTAAGTTCGGTAGTTTCAATGCAGACTCCGAGTATAACATACTACTCCTATTCACCACAAATTATTTCTGTTTGAAAAATGGTGAGTTGATTTTATTATAAAGAAACATTATTATATGCATGAATAGTAATATGATAACTGAATTGAAATAAAATAAATGGGTTTAGCGCAAGGCTGTGTTAAGTCCTAGGCTAGTGTATGTTAGTTGTTTGTTTCATACTTTAGTTAATTATTAGCAAAATGTAGTTTTAATTTAAAATTAATTAGACCTGATTCAATGCAATTTATGACTTATGACTTAGTTATTCACATATAAGTATGTGAATCATAATACTGTACTGTACAGTATGCATGTTAAGTAATGTTATATCTATTGCAAGCTACTCGTTATTGAATTTGTGTTTGCATGCTTTAGTACATTTGTAAATATGTGCGCACTGTTGCTGTGGCAACAGTACATGCTACAGATGGATACATGAAACCTAGACTTACAGTATCATATAATTTATGTAAACTTGCTACTGGTACTGGTACTTGTAGCCGTCTGATTTCAGACATTCGGCAGCCATTGACATTATGTTAGTATTAATAGTTAAGATTGTTTTATTTTTCTAGTTTGCTTACTGAAGAACATTCTTCAATTTGTATTAAAGAACCAAGCAGTAGAAGACTTAGATGTGCAACCACGGTAGAATTATCATCATTGATTTTTAATACTGAATATTAATATACATAGAATATCAACAATACTTGTTGTATGCAAGTATCTTTGATATTATTATCTGTTATACTGCTTATATATAGATTGATTAATTATTTATTTCATTCGCAATGTTATAATTGCTAAGTATTATTATTATTTATTTTTCTGTTACAGTTTTCACATTGTTTAATGATTGAATAAAACAGTCAGCATTAAGCATCAGTCGAGACTTGTTTTCTAAGTCACTATCTGCCACAATGGTAATGATGATGATTATGGTGATAATTGGGATGATGGAGCTTTCTAGTAAATTGATTTTGGAGTTTTTCTGTGCATATACAAAAACTCTGGTTTTGATGATGATGATTTACCAAATTCTTTATCAGTGACAATGAGAGAACTTTACCTTTGGGGGTTCTGTTGCCTCGTCCAATGACTGTACACGAACATTGTCATCATAACCTATGACCTCCATCTTACTTGTATCATATTCACTGAGTTTGCTCATGGACGAGCCCGTTGGAAGAGCAGGGCCTGTCACGGACTCCTGAAAAATCAGAAAAACAAATTACAATATGTTAAGGCATGGTAAAGTATATCATCGTAAACCTAATTGACTACTAGTTAATGGATCTTTCTGGAATGTCAATCAAACTTAACAACTGATCAACCAGGAATATGAGTACGTCCCACAGACACACGTTTACATTTATGACTGCACTCAACCAAAGTGGCAGGGCTTAGCAGAATGATTTTGGGCTGGGTATTCACTGCAGCAGCTGCAACAGCTGCAGTGCCACCTCTGTTGGTTAGTTTGGTACTGGTACTTGTATGGGCATTTATAATGCACCTCTTCCTTGTGGTTACAAAGCACAGTTCTTTTCCCTGGTCATTAGGTTTACATGCAAAGTGTTGCTGCTGGTAATCAGCGCAGGAGCAGGCAACCCCACCAGGTATTCCATTTATACTCCTGGGTGGAGAGAAGCAATGCAGATAAAGTGTCTTGCTCAAGGACACAAGCGAAATGCACAGCGAGAGATTGAAACCCTGACCTTGAGATTGGGAAACCAAACTGTTCCCGCTGCACCAAACTGCTTGGCAGCAGTAGACTGGGAAACAATTACCTGCTTTATCTAAAGAGTATACTGCATCTTGTAGTAATGCATAGCTGAGCCAATTTATACACAGGATTTAATAGTTTCAAAGGATGGTGCTTAAGAACCTGTATTTCATAGAGTGAGCAGCTTTTACCCCCATGATAGAAGGACTCCACATAAAGATTTCTATGTTTCATTACATACACTATGGTTACTATTACTTTACTGCTACACTCAAAATCAAATAATTGGAGTAATAAGAAATGATTGCTAAAAATTTGGACAAATGAAACATACCTCTGATGTTTCTGGACTTGACTGTTCTTTGTTTGGAGGGCTAGATGTTTCTTGCTGGACTAATGATGCCTCCTTTGACTTTTCCCCCTGAGGGTCAACAGAAACAGGCTAAAATAGAAAGAGCATTTATAAAAAAAAAATATCAAAAGTTAGTCTAACCATGGAGTTGTAATTATTTTTCAAAATGATTATAACTCCATGGTCTAACCAACAATTCATTATCTTAAAGAATACAACTTTCTTTAATAGTAATGATAGTGAAGATGGTTGCAACTATAATAACATAGTGCAAAAATAAAGTGCAAAACTGCAAATATAATTTGCAACAAAGCTTCTGTGCTTTAACATCATATTAATGTTTCTTAGCATTGCTTAAGATGCAGAATTGTGGAATAAGTGAACATAGAGACAATAAACACCCCTCTTTCTCCACTCAAATCCTTAATACTTAATATCTTGTGTTTGATTTATCTTGTTCACGTACACCTGCATAAATATACAGCTGAATGACAGGCTTACTTTAACAGGAGACTGAGGCACAGGTGTTGTGCTTGGCCTACTATCAGTACTAGCAGTCAAGGATTCCTGGGTTGCTGGTGGGTTCTGGCTGACTGGGGTAAAGTTCCTCAACTCATTCATGATCAAAGTAGCTGTGTGGATCCATTCAACACACTCTGTCTGTAGCAAACAAAGCACAGAAACATAAACAATCATTGAAAAAGAGCAATCCGCTTAGATTTAAGGTTAATCGTACGACAGCCTGATGCGGTAGGTCTGCGTCAGGTATAGTCGCGTCGTAGAATATTAAAGATGTTCAATATTCTCACAGTGACCTCCCGAACATAAATCTTGTCGGGCTGTGTCAACAACAACGCTGCCTGAGATGGCCTTTACTGTGTCAGTTACTCACAGCATAGGTATTATTTACTACTAAAAAACAAAGTATACCATAATAAATAAATCATTTGTACAACGGTTATTAGGGAGGTCACCTGACAAAGTTGTTTAATCACGTGATTAAGTTGGTTACCTTGATTCTCTTGAGATCTTTCATCTCATGGTCGGCAGCTTCCGTTCTCATCATCTGCTGCTTCTGTAGCTCCTCCGCTACAATGGTGGAGCAACAGCTGCAGGATAAGAAAATTATTTTGGTGATAAGAATATATATAATAAAATTTATAATACACAATTCCAAAAACAATAAAATTATAAAATGTACAATGTTTGTTTTTAAAAGAGCCTGTGAATCAACCAGATTGTTATTTTTAAAGGCTATGAGTAAGTCAGTATATTTTGAAGATGAAGCACGGGCCTATTTTATTGTATTAAATACTAAAATGAACGTTTTCGTTACCATGTAAACATATAAAAATATAAAAGGAAATTCTTTTACGATGATAAGTGCAAAGATATCCAAACAGGTGTGCTTTTATGGAAGTGCCTATAAAAAATTATTTATAGTATGTTCATTATAATTATAGGGACAATAGTTTTCTAATTATTATTATTTATTATTTGTGGGACAAGCACCTACTTCTGGTGCTGTTCTGATTGCTCAATTGTTAAGGTTGACTTCCGAAAGTGCATTGCAGATGTTGAGCTTTCTCCACACTATCAAATTGTATGTGACAAATAACTGTGATATGACCATATTTGGGTGTAATTTGACATCATTACACAAATTTGTTGCAGTGCGGACAGAACTTCATAACATATTAAAAACCATAAATATACTGACCTTGTAAGGTAGTTAGAAAAACGTGTCAGCTTGTCGAACAACATGGATGCTTTCTGTTGAATTGTCTCAATGGTGTCCGTGGTTTCCCGGCCACTTTCCACTGCCTCAGGTGGGCTACCGGGTAAATCAGGTGACAGGTGTAACAACACCTGAATCACCCAATGGATCATACTTGAATGCAAGTCAGCAACCTGTCAATGCAAGAATGTAATATTAATCTTTAAAAAAATAGTTTTGAAATGGAGAAAAATAATCAGAAAAATTTAACAAAATATTTAGTGAAGGCATATATAAATCATCTTCACTTAAATAATCATTAAAAGGTTATCTGATCATCATAATTAAAGTGTGATATAGGCTATCACATGAAATTATTGTTTCCAAAATTAGTGTTCTCCTCTTCCTTTTCATATTTGTCAACCTCAACAGGATCACCATCATCAATATTTATCATCAAATTTACCACCACTACCTCCACCACCATCCTCATCACCACCACTGTCACAACGGTAGTATAATCATCATCTTCAACATCATCATTAACATCCACCACCTGCCTCATTATCTTTATCTTCACTATCATAAGTACAACTATAAAGAAAACTACATCACTACAACACCAGCCCCACCATCAGTTACAAACTGTTATGTGATGAGTATGAATGCAAAATGTGTTTCACTATTTTAATTTTTTTGCATGCTCACCTGGTCAGCAAGTTTAGCATCTTCATTATCAATGCCATTGGTTGTCACAGTCAGCCACTTCTGAGCATGTTTGAAAACGTCTTTCATTTCAACCCTTCATGATAAAAAACAAGAGACAAAAATGATAAAATATAGAACAGATCTGCATTAAAACAGGTGTAAATCTAGAATTTTGAAAAAAAGGCAGCAGAAGGGACACAGTTCCATCACAGTAAGAACATTAAGAGAGTATTGGCAGGGATTGGGGATATATGCTAAAGTTCTCAATTTTAATGCATCATACTACCAATGAAAGCATCAAAACACATCACTTCTGGGTTGAGGCTAAATCTATGCCAAATTAGTTTTCATGACCTAAAAATGACTCTCACCTAAGTGCACTCATGCAAAACACACTGCTTATGAAGCATTCAAACTGTATTTTTGTTTCAAGTCCTGTATGTATGTTAAAACACAATTTTGATAATGTACAATCCACAAGAAACTTTCTTGTTGTTTTTTACCAACTGACAGTACTCTATCATTATTGCAAGCTAACTTACATATTTTTTAACTTAGCATTAGCTTCTTCTTCTGTCTGAATCGTCCCGACACATAAGATGGCTTCTTCAATAATCATCAACCAATCATCAAACAATTCGTATAGCCGTGCCCATTCTACATTTAGGGGCATAGCGCCACCATTCAGGATGCCATTCAGCTTTGTATCCCAGCTTTCCATTGAGTTTGTAAGATGAATCAATCTTTTAGCTGTGCCTGTATTTGAAAAAATTAATGTTAGAAAATACAAAAATAGAAATTAGAAAATGGTTTTATGAGCTCACAAATAAAATAACATTAATAGATAAAAATAAACAACTATCAAATCAAATCAGTTTTTTAAAATAAATAAGGTGCTACCAATACTCTACCATGTCATACATAGTTACACAAGTTACAAAAAAATTAATATATAAACTATATAATTAATATAATTATTATGATAATAAGTGAAGGCGTAGTTATGTGCACAGGTGCCTAGACTCGAATCCCGAGGAACTTAGAATATTTTCTCATGGCTAAAACAACTCCGTCCATAAAAAAAATAATGGGACTTAGTTATAGAGCATTATTTTAATTTGTTGCAAGTTTTACTTGTTGTTGAATGTGAAAGGAATAAAATACATATAAAACAAAATCATTGACAATAACAAAAATAATTGTATTTCAAATTATGCAAATAATTTAGCACCTTACAATGGGAAGTGATATCATAGCATTCATATATGTTTTGTCTCTGTAAGTAGTTAGTCGACCTTATGTAAAAGGTTTATGAATATCTCACAAAATATTAAAGTAAAAAACAGCAGCACTTTTGAGACTAACAATATATAATTAATTCTCTAGCTTTCGTCCACACAGTGGACTTCATCAGGAAACTGTACAAATGGGAAAGCTAGAGAATTAATTATATATTGTTTGTCTCAAAAGTGCTGCTGTTTTTTACTTTATACTTTCTATACTGTACAGACTAACGCGGCTATACTTTTTATTCATCATGTCACAAAATGTTGAGAACACATTATGAATATTTCATTATGAAAAGTTAAACGATACTTACCATTTTCTCCATTTACTTTGATCTGAAACTGCCTCATTAGTTGATGACATTCCTACAAATATAAATAATAACATAAAAGTGTGACCAATTTTTTATTTGTCTTCTAGTTTAAAAGGAAAATAAGAAAACACTTTAGTAATAATAAATATAATAAAAATAATTTTAATAAAAATTGTTGCTGATAATGGCAAAAATTGTGGCATCAGCATAATAATAATAATAATAATAATAATAATAATAATAATAATAATAATAATAATAATAATAATAATAATAATATAATGGTTCTTGATAGTGATACTTGATAGGAATCCTCTTACAGGGTTTTTCTGAATTTCCCAGAGAGCATGTTACTTTACAAAAACATTATGACTTCAATTGGGAGAGGGCGCTATTATCCTGCTTTCGTTGACCCTACTGAAAGTACTAAGAGGGTCTGGAACAGTAGCTAATAGATGCAATAAGGATCTCCACACCTTCAATATCTTCACACAGGAAACAACAACTATTATTGAAAATTCATATAAATATTTATTACAAATAAACCAAATACTGTGTTCTATCAAATAATAATAATAATATAATAATCATAGGCCTACTATAAACTGTATTAATAAAATATCATTATAAAAAAAATAAAGTACATTGGTTATACACAGTGCATAAATGTATATCAATATCAATGTGGTGAACAGAGAAATTCAGTGCCAAGAATTATAATACATTATCACATCAATTATTCATTTACTTACAACCAGATGTCCCATTATTTATTGCAACGCAAACGGCCTTGCTGTTTATGTATGCCTTTTTGTCTTTATTAAATGTAATGTTTACATTTTTTTTATTTGAAGCTGTACAACCTACACTTCTTTACACTAGTGTACTTCTTTGGAGTCTCACAAATGATGACGATTAATTTGACGATGATTGAGTTTTTTTTTAATGCTTTTTAAAATTTAACATTTCTGATTTTTGTAATGTAATTTTAATTGCCAAAGCTTCTGTTTTTTGAATTTGTATGTTTTATATTTTTATTTGAAGTGAATTTGAAATTGTATTTAATATGTATGTACTTGAATATTTTTATATTTCTATATGAATAATAGAATTCACTTCTATATGAAGTGAATTTGTATTTCTTTTTTCTATGAAGTGATTGTATTTTTTCTGAATACATATACCTGAAAAAAATAACATACATTTCTTTGTATTCTTTATATGAGGACAAATAAAATTTCTTGTATCTTGTATCCAAATTATATATTTTTTTCAATATTTCATACAGATCTCTCTCACAAGTCACAGCCTTAGTAATGAAACACCCCTGAAAACAATTTACAGCATAAAGTATGAAAGTATAAACCTAAGTATTTTTAAACCTAATAATAGAAAAAATGTATTATGAAGCTATTTAAACGTCAAAATTTAGGCCTAAGGATAAAAATTAGTTTTTTCACCTAACATGTAGTTTTCCGCTATGTTACCAGATCAATTAATTTCTCCCTGATAATAGCTTCTTTACATACATGAGACACATTACAAGCCTTTTTTAAAAAATGTGATATCTCTTTGTAAGTATTTTAATGTTTTGTCCTTTCTTGTTGCAATTTTGTATATAATATTTTTAATAATAATTATATATATATATATATTCTTATGTTTTTGTAAATACACTAATTCAGCCTTTGGCTGCCATTTGTATACAGTCTATTATACCTGAATAATAAAAATCTAAATATGAGGGTTAAAGTTAGATCTTGATATATCGTCTCTTTTCATATTCCTAATACTATATTGTATCTTATACTAGAATTGTTCTGTTATATATGCCTATATACTAGTCATAGTTATGTGAAACTAGAAGATTTAAGCTAGGCCCCTGGTGACATCTCTAAAACATCTCTTCTGTAGTGTGCTAACCACATTTACAAAGCGCATAACTTGACTGAATAACAGGGATTGTTACCGCCAACTGTGTTAAGGTCCTCTATAGTTTATTATATCTCTATAGTTTCAATGAATTGACAATACCATATACTAGGATAATAATGAGTAGCCATACTTGTCTATAGAATGCACAACCAGCACTTAGAAAACAATACTTATTATTAAAATAGAATTTTACATGCATTATACATCTTAAATACTATTGTAACTATACTGTATATCTGAACAGTGGCCTCCCTTTTAGTGTGCCTTCTTTTCTAAATCTTTTACCTGTCTAGGTTATTTATTTATTTATATAAGAATGGATATAGAAATGACATTTGAAAACAAATACCATATGAAGAAAAATGCAAAGAGAAAGGACTGATAAAACAAAGTGCATATAAAAATCAAACTAAGTGCAAAAACTCCAAAAGCAGAGTGTTTTCATACTAATAATCAGTTTTATGTGTGGAATAATTTGTTACTGAAGTACCACCAGCTTGTTTCTGCTGCGAAAAATCTGGTAATACCAGCACAGTGGTATAACTGACTTCTCTAAAGCATTTGATATGGTACACCATATCATGGCCTTCCATAGGCTCAATGAAATTGGGATTTCATTTGTTATTTTAACATGGGTAATTAACAGAGGGAGAAATATAAAGGGGTATTTTCGGATTATATAACCATCAATGGCCCAATTCTTGCCCCAATAATATTTTTATGTTCCATTAAGGTATAATCTAAGGTGAAAAATATGTATTTTAATGGAATTTTTACATGATTATCTCACCACAAACAGTATATCAATAAGTATGCAAAACTTTATTGATTTACCTCTTTTAAATCCTACATTTACATACCACATACATTAGCCAAGCAAAATAAAGAAATTAATCATTAAGTAGATTATACATGTACAATAAAAGCAAAGAAAAAATGCAAGCAAATCTTTTTTCATGTATTTATTACAAATAAAAATGACGATATTCAATTGATAATTCTGTTATTTCATTTTCAGTCAGCATTCAATTTTTCTAAAGTGTGTTAGTCCCAAACCCAAAACAAAAATTGATCCGTTTAAAATATGCATTAATTTAATTTAACATTAAAAATAAATATTGAGAAAAAGGAGATATATATCAAGCACAAATATGCAATGTTTTGATATAAAAAGCAAAGATAAAGCTTAAAAAATGAAAGAGAATTTTAAAATATATACAAACCCTGCCGTTTTGATTGTGGAAATGAAATCGAAATATAAAATAGTTATATTTTATGATTTGTACATTATTTGCCTATAATGAGATTTCTTGTTAACATTGTAAATTTAATACTCATTTGTTCCTTCATTCATACAATTATTTAATTATTTATTTGTTAATTCATTCAATTATTTATTTACTCATAACATTATTCATTCAATTATTCGTTTGTTTATATTTTCCTTTAATTATTAATTTGTTTATACATCCATCCATCCATCCAGTCATTCACTAAATTCTAATGGAAGCTTGAAACAAGAAAGTTGTATTTTAGAATGTAGAGAGATGAAAACATACAAATAAGATTTTACCTCTGTACGCTGTCCAACAAAATAAATGAACAATTTAAGCAGCATGCAGAAACAGTTAAAACAAAGGAAATAAAAATGGTGAGTTGACATATAAAACACACACACACACAAATATTATATACAGCACATAAATATGAATGCATTTACATGCTTAATTTTTTGGCTGTATATTCTCAAATTCACACGGATGAATAATGCGCCCTTTAACCTGTAGCAAGGATTAATTCACTTGTGGGAAGATTGTTAGTATAACACTTAAACACATTTCCTCTGTAACTTGTTGTCTTATGTAAATTGGGTATATGACACCCCTTTTTCTTATTAATTATTAAATTGAATAATTTATTACCTTATTCATGATTAGCATCTTCTCATGGTCAGGGTATTCCTGTCCATTATCTGGCTTGTGTCTGCTGAAAACCTTAATCGCGATCTCTGTCCACTGTTCTGTCTGCTTTGAAATCATGTACATACTCTCCTCGTGGCCAAGTAGAACATCCCCTCCAAATCTTTCCACTTCTTTGTTGAGATTCTGTAATGGAAAAATCCCTCCAAGTAATGAAAATATAGCATCTGTAATCACTGTGATAGAACAGAAACAATGAATATTTATAGCACAGATCACAACTCTGTTATGAGTCTCCCAGAAATCAACATTGTTCCCTACTACCTGAATAGTTGAGCCCTGGAGACATGACAAATGTACCTCTCAACATGAATAATCAAAAGTAAGAATTATTATATCAACTGAGAACAGGATGACAGACCTGAAATGGAATTGATGAATGAAAACTCATTTGGTTTAAAATATCTGATTATGTTACACTGATAAGGATTTTAAATACAATTGTACCCCCACCCCTACAAAGAAAACAATATATAAAACATTTTTCAGCATTTCTCCCAAGTTGAAAACAAGTGGTTTGTTTTAACAGGCACTATGCAAATTTATAACACAAACCTCTTCCCAGTGTCGTAAGTCTTCATACAACTGTCTGATAACTTCCTTACTGGGTGCCTTAGCAACTGTCATGGCTTCACTAGCCCTATACAGGTGAATCATAAGATACAAAGTTACAAGATGATTGGATTTTGAAAACATTGTACAGCCCAATGTTTCACAAATAAAAATAATCAAAATTTGATTGTAACAGCACCAATAATACAATTTAAAAAAAATAATAACAACAAGCACAATATCAAGAACATATTAATTTCAAAACATTCATGTTTTAAAAACCACATCAGAACAAAACTTGTGCAAAAATACAATCGTGGTTGTTAAATTAATTCAATCATTCATTCGATTTATTGTCATTTGCAACATATCATTTACATCACATAGACATTGAAGTTACAGAAATTGTTACTATATTGACATTATTTTTACATACTACAACCCCACTAAAGAAAAAACACAAACTTATAAGTATAAACAATAAATAAAGCACTCTGGTTTATAGTATCAAACATAAAAAAAAAATGTAGAGTTTTTAATTGTTTAGACAAAATATTAATTTAAATTAATATTGTGGGAAAATAGTTTTATAAATCACATATTTCTACATTAATTTTGATTAAATTATTGCAGTTAAATATAATATTAAATCTTGCATAAATTATAGGCCTATTACCCTTGGTTCATGACTTAGAGTGAAGAAAGAGAAGGTTGGTAAGTTTTTACACAGCAAACATTGTTATGAAAGCAACTACAATATCACCTGGATGAGGGTCTTGGAGATCTATCAGTGAATACTGTTGTGCCAGGAAGGGTACTTTAGGAAAGATATTGAAAGATGGAAGGTTCAGATATAGATAATATAACACATCTTTAAAAGCTTCAAGACTGTGAGGCCAGTGAGGGAACTTTAGTCAAAGATATTGTAAAGATGCACTACAGCACATCCTTACAAGATTGAAAATTGCATTGCCAATGAAATTGTCTTTTAGATAATGTCCAACATACATGCATCAGCAATGCATTATTAACATACCTTGAAGGACTACGAAAAATCAATAAATTAGAGACTTGTGGCAAGTCTACTTGAAGGTTTGAAGGCAGTATGTCAGTGAGGGCATTTACGAAAAGATATTGTGAAAGATGCATACCTCAGTAATGCAACAGCAATAAACACATCTTAAGATGTGAAAACTAACATGCCACTGAGGGTGCTTGTGGCATAGATATTTTAACAGATTCATGGTTCAGTATTAAGCACTACGGTAGTAATAAATACACTATTCAGTTAATGGTTTGATTACTGTTCAAAATACTGAGGGTGAAGAGACAGAATGCAAACACAATTTTTTCCATAGACATGCAAACAATTAACTATAATATTCTCATTACTAGTAAATATGAGCAACTATATAATGCAGTATGCAACAGTTTTTTCTCAGGTGACAAGGAACCTCCTGATTTTTATATCATATAGTGTATGTAATAAATAAATAAATGTAAAAATATAAATTATATAATATAAATTATATTAAAATAAATAAATTATATAAATATTATTAATACATTAAAAACTGTTTAAAGAATTCCTTTAAAAAATGAATATTTGATGTCTGTAGTAAAGTTTAAAGTTATGGCAAGTTTAATTGATAATGAAAAACATGTTACTGTTTAAGTACATTATTAAGTATATATATTTTGTGATAATATTTAGGCAGGGAAATCAGTCAAAATATAAAAAAATAATGATTACATGACATTTTCTGAAAAATCTGCTATCCACCGGTTCACACCACTTTTGATTAATGTCAACCTCTCACATGTTTTCTTTTCCTCGATTAGTAGGTTAGCATCAAATTCCGTTGTGAGGGTGCGGTGGTTCTCTATGAGGCCCTGTAGCTGTGATAGCTGCTCTGTGTCACGGTCACTTAATACCACTGCAAAGTGCTTGGCTAGCTTACTCCAGCTCTTCTCACTAACATGCAGACGTCTGGCAGTACTTAAAGCATTGGCTTCAGTGACCTGTAACCAATTACATAATAAAAATGATAATATGGCAAAATAAAAATTCATTGATTTGGTTTTGTTTTGTGTGAAACAGGGCTGGAATAAAAAATGATTCACAAATAAACCAAAAATATATGTAATCTCTGCAACAGAATTAAGATCTTAAAGTAAGTACAGCATGAAATGACACACGTTTACATTTAAGATCTTTAAGAACTGATAGAAATAAAAACCTTAAGAGCCAGGTTGTATGCTGCATGGCTCCACAGTTCTCGTTCACCAGCAAGACTTGCAACCTGGTTTTCTAGACGCTTTCGTTGAAGCTCGTACAGTTCATGATACTCAGCAAGCAAGCTGTAAATAAAATAAGTAAACTTTTAGATTCAATATCTATTTTTATCATAAAAAGGACAACATATAATATACTGTATAAAAATGGACACTATGAAAAATTTTTTTAAAAATATCTTAAGTAACTAAAGTATGTGTGGCTACTCATAAGGGAGTGTGGCTACTCATAAGAAAACAAATTCTGTCCATATTATCACATTTTATGTGACACATACCTGTGATTTGCACATAATGAGGCATGTTGTAGCAAAATGGCTAAGTTGTAGCAAAAATATTGGTATTTTCAGATACCCGAGTATGTGATCTTTAAAATGAGGGGTCATTAATTGAAATTGGACATTTCAAGCCTAAGGTATTAGAAAGTGAAAGTACAGCACTCCTAGAATCAAGATAAACATGATTTTGAGTAATGAGTAATTGCCTTTCAAAGTTGTTTGTGCATATATTGTTTAATAGAATAAACTATCAAAATAACGTTAAATAAACAACTTGCTGACCACTTCCAGAATTAATACTTTGGTACATGATTAATAAGACATTAAACTATTGATCTATAGTGAAAAACAAATTTGGATTTTTAGTCAATTTTTTGAGCGCCCATATTTTATAGCTCATTTACACAATACTGGCCTGTGCGACAACTTAACCATTTCACCACGACATGCCTCATATAGGTGTGATATGACATCATCTTGATCACAAAATTTGTTAATTAAAACATTAAAGTGCGGAGTGAGCTTCAGAAGCACTACTATTTTCAATCTCATTAATTTAATATTTCCTATCATTTTTTAGTTAAATATCTTAAATATGGTATTGCCTGCTGGCTAATAGATGCCGCCACTGTCACTCTTCTGCAATGCATCGTACAAACCTGGGTAATCAAAAAGACTACCGAAAATCCCAATGATTAATCTCAGATAAGATAGTATAATACATACACCAAGAATCGAAATGCACACCATCAGACTACTTTACCTTGAATTCTTCTCAGATTCTTTTAGAGCTCGTGCCAACTGAAGGTGGAAATAAAAATTAAATTGTCAATACCATGCTAAACTTGGCTTTTTATTCACCAAACTGTTGGGGGGCACATTTTGACTGTCTTAAGCCCTGTTCAAATTATATTGTTTATATTGTTTACGGCCCAACTAACTGTGTACCTGGTCAATTTGACAAAAAAAAATCCAGTGCAAAGAGCTTACATATTATCTAAGCCAGGTAGTAAGTTTAACTTAACGAATTTTGCCCTGGGAGTACTAGCCAGGTTGTTTTTCCTAACCAGGAAAGTTCAATTGCAAACAGTACTTTGGTTAAAACTCCATGAGCAGCAGCATTGTATATAATGGACTTTTCAATCCGCACTTGTGTGCCCAAAAGAAATTTGAACTTGTATACATTTAAATGCACACAACATGATTTAATATTTTTCCAATTGGAAGGTTTAGAACAGCAATTTGCATGGCGTAGATTATTTAGGCACAACCTTGGTAAAACATATTGCATATTTATAAACAACTTGTCTGGGTAAAATTATATTTTTTCTTAGTGGAAATTAATCAAAAGTGATGGATTTTTGGATGCAAATATTAATATTATAATATGAAACACACAAAAAAAAAAAACGTGGTGGCTCTTTGCTTTTTCTAAATCATAGATCAACTGTAGCAGATCTTTCTGACCCATGAAACACACATACCAAGAGATACTTACATCTTCCTGTGCTTGTTGTGACTGTTTTGTGACTAGCTTATCATGCTGTCGTACATCAGATAATTCACTGAAAGAAATACAAGTAATATATGAATGCAATGATAATGATGACTTAAAAAAAATATTGATTAGTACTACTTCATTAGAATGGAAAATAACATGATGTTAATGTTGTAGCGTAGCTGTCTACTTGTCTCATTAATAAACTTATTGAAGTACTGTACAGTTAAACTTGCCTAAAGTCGACTTTGCCTATTCTCGAATAATTTCTAAATCAATCTTATTTTACATGCCAAATTGTTGTGTTTTCTATTAATTAACGATCTGTAAACAGAATTTTATCTAAGTCAAACAATTTTTCAATGCCATTTTATTTTCGACTTTGGCTAGTTCAACTAACACTGTATAAATTATACTAATTACAAAGATAGCAAGCATAGTACAGTACTACTATTTATACTATTATTAACAACAACAACAGTAATAAGAATATAATGCTTTTATCAATATAAAAAAATAAAAGCCACAAAATAATGCGCTTTCTCTACAATTTTTATTATAAATTAAAAAACCTCATAGGAATTAAATCTTACGATGTGAGATCAGATATAGATGACTTGAATCTGAAGAGTTCTTCTGTAAGCCTGCGATCCAGAGCCCTCTGTGCCATCACCTCTTGGTGCAGGCTTTTCACCTGTCGTGGAACTTTGTCAAGGAGAGTGCAATACCTCTGCCGCAATTCAGACAGCAATTCACCTCGCTCTGCGCACTCAACAGTTACCTAAACGAAATAATTTTATTAATTAGGATATTATTAATAGTGTGACAGAACATACTTTCTGTTGTTAGTAAAGGACAGAAAATGTAAGAAAAAATTATGTTTTGAGAAAAAAAATAATGTGTGGGAAAAAAGTATTAGGTAATGTTGAAGAAATGATGGGATAGGGAAGGAAAACTGGTGTTGGCAAGGAAGGGATGACCAAATGATGCAGTAGGGATAGAGAAACAGTGCAATAGGGGTGGGGAAAAGTTTGTTTAGAAATAAAAAGGGGATATGATGGGGTAGAAGTTACAAATGGTGATGTAGGAAAATGGAGAGGTAGGGATAGGGAAATGGTGGTGAAGTGTGGTAAAAGAAAAGAGGGCAGCAGTAGGAAAATATTAGTAGCATAATAGGGTGTGGTAGATGTAAAGATTGTAGGTGGATATCTAGAGACTTAAGTTCCATAACCTTCTGTATTAAAAATCACCTGTCGGATCAATTCATGAAAGACAACATTGTAAATGCTTTGCTCCTTCTTGATCAACTCCAACAAATTGTGTATTTGTGTGGGACCTTTAATCTCCACCTCATCATCATCAACACCAGCCTTTTCTAACATAGTACGTATCGTCTCTTTAAGCTGAAGCACCTCGTACCGACTTGCTGGTTTCCTGTAAATTCATAATAAATGTATATATTTTATAAATATCACATCTGTCATTAATACATAAAATTGTGTTTAGTATTGTTTGTTAAGTTCCCTCAGTAAGGGGAATTTTTCTTTTCCATACTTAACTTAATTTCCTTTTTTATGTTACAGTATACATATATTTTATTTAACAACCACAAAAAGGAACACCCTCAAGGATACTGTAATCTATTCTTTTTTGTTTTTACTGTTACAAAATTATGATAAATATTATTCACTATGCAAGTCCTCAACCACTGCCATTGTATTAACATAATTATAATGACACCTGTATGTTTCTTTAATATTACCATGGAGGAATTAGTTTTTACATTATCAACATGCACACAACTCAAGCATATATTTTAGCATGGTTTTGGTTAACCTACAAGAACAGATTTTGCTATTTTGTTTTCTCTAGAGACCACATATTATGAACTATATAAATCTCCAACCATTACCACATACACCATAGGTGCTAAATAAAATATGTGTGGTATTACTGTATTAGTATTAAAATAATACTAATAAAACCACACATATTTAGTGCCTATGATAGCAAAAATATTTACTGTCAATGTTAAGCCTAGTGGTTATGTTGTACTTACATAGATGGGAAGCTGACCGGTTCTTCTTGCTTATCTATTAGATGGGTTGTGTATTTTCTGCAACAGAAAATAAAATACAATGTACACTTCAAAACACATTATAAAGTAAGAGTTGATTTTAAAGACTTCAAAATTTTATAAATTTATTTTCCATCTTGTAAGACATGACAAATATATTCTTGATTGATTCATTGATTGGCATCACACATAATTATGAAAATTCATTGATAATAATTTAATTGCTAAGAATTTCAAAATAATTCATTAAATTAATTAATAGATTTCATCACATACTCATCTTTGAAATCCAGACTCTGAACTCCTTTTGATTTGACAACGTGATATTCAGATGGAATCAATGTCTCAGGAAGCATCATACCCTGCTGTGAATAAACACACAAGTTCAAGTCTCCTAAAGGCCTGTCTAGAGACTATCACATTTTATTTGACAAAAGAATGTTGTATACCCAAATAATAGTCTTTATTTTCCTATATATGGTCATGATGTGATGTCTGGATATGGCTTTAAATATCAGTAATTATGTAGGATATTCAATATAATAAACTTAAAATTATTAATTTATAGTTCAACAATCATGTATAAATTATTATTTTTAAGTAAATTAATTATTCATAATTATTCTTTTCATGTTATTTTCATCAATAGAGATGGCAGGCAACAAAGGCCTTCCCTATACTGTGTCTATCATATTAAATTATTACAGAGCAATGTACCTTAAAAAAAAAAAACGGGATAAGATACAACAGGAAAAAATAATAAATTTTACATAAACTTAACATCATTTTCAATATACTGTCTCTTATACACATATACACATAATTTATAAGAAATATTGGAATATAAGTTCCTATACTAGTGCTGGATATAAATTTTGCATAATCTTGTGTTGATGTTTGTTATGTGAAGGGAAATGCGACTTAGAGCAGTGATTAAGTTTGCTGTTTGATAGCCTTGACCATGGGCCTAAAACAAAAGCTCTGGAAAATCATCTACAGTACTTTAATACAGTAAAGTCCGATCCAACATTACCTGTTACGTCTGACAGATAAAAGTTCGATAATGTGTGCCTACTTTGGCCATTACTGCTTACCTTACCACCATTCAATCGAACTTTGTGCTTTTCCAATCCCCTAATTGTACTCTGATCTGTCAGGTCGGGTTTTAGGAGAGGGGGTTCAACAACTGGTACATCATATAAAAATGAGATATCCCTGAAGAGAAATACATAGTCAATTGTTACATCAATAGTGTACATCATTATTACCATCATTATCTCTTCATCATTATCATCAGCACTTGTCATAAGAAAAAGTGACTTAGCAACCTTTGTCAAAAAATGATCTGTACTTATAAATGCCTATATTATTCTCTTCTCTATAACTCTTCATCTTTAATAGGCACCATACACTACCTTCCAGCTCCTGTCATTGATTTAGGATTATCTGTTAAATGTTGGAACTTCTTTCTCCGGCTAGGGAAATTCCAAAGATTAGCAGCAGGTGCATTTCCTTTATTTGTTGAGGCCTAAAACATACATTAGGAAGAAACATCTGAGCATATTCATACCAATATAAATATGAAATGGTTTAAAAAATATTGTTACTTTTATATTGTATGTATATTTAACTGCATTTACAATTGTAATTGAATCTAATTTATAACTATAAAAAAACTCCTCAATTAAAATACTGAAACATGTAATATATATTTTAATTGTAGTGTCAGCTTATGGTATTCTATTGGGTATGAATTTTGAATGAGTGTGAGTTGTTAATTTAAATAGTATTATCTTTGTTTTTAAACAATTAAGTTATTCTTTATGTTAAATTTCAATATAATATAGATTTGAAAAAAAGAAGAAGGTTGCTGTATTCATATTGATTAACATAGAGTACTTACATTTTTGGTTTTAAGAGCAGTTGGAAGACCATCCTTTGGAACTGGCTTTGGGATCTTTGTGAGAGCATTAAGGATCTCTTCAGGGATGAATTCACTTTGCAGTGATGTTGGAAGTGGTTTGCTTTTGTCAATGTAATTGTCACTGGACTTCAAATCTGGAAGCATAGCTGCAATACAATTAATATATGATATGGATTTTTTTATTCAGAATGTGGAGTTTTCATTATCTTCTATTATATTGTGCATAATCAATATCATTGCATAAATTTGCATAAAGGTATGATTGACAATATTAATCCCCTGCTTTTTTTAATGTACACAAAAGCATCTGAATGTGTACAAGCTTGGATAAACACATGACCAACAGCTGAAATGCCTCTGAAATATGGTGCCTTGTGACAACATGCAGCACAGTGGTGGCGCCAGCGGAGCAGGGGGAAATTGCCTCCCCCATTCGGACAGGCCTGGACCCCCTGTCATCCAACACACAACTAGGTCATTGGATCAAAAATTTAAAAAAATAATACTGTAATTTGCCTATACAAATAATGTTATTTTGACTGCCAATCCCTAATATTGTTGTCTAAAAGCACACTTGGACCATACTAAGACATAAATACTCTCCCCGTCAACCATACAAGAGAGTCTTTTTATTCCGGGCAGTCGACCGAGGCTTCGTCAGCCCTTTGGCTCAGACCCCTCTGTGGAACATGTCGGACCCTTGTCAGCAAATTTCTGGCGCCATCGCTGATGCAGCAGTGGCTACCACCAGTTTAGCCAACTGATCTATGCCAGTGGCGGATTTAGAGGGGGGAGGGCGTAAGGGGAGTACGCCCCCTCAATTTGTTTGTAAAAAATTGTTTTGTAAAACTTATCAGAAAATTACCATGCTAAATATTAAAAATCAATCAAATATTAACTCAAATTAATAAAGGTTTAAGGTAGAATCTTGCCTTGCATTCCCTTACTCTTACTTACTCGGACATTCACGCCCCTCTTTCTTACTGGGCTGGATCCGCCCCTGTATGCTACTCTTAAGACTAGATAGAGCAGCACTGTATGCTCCCTCTAATTAAAGACCCCTCCAATTCAAGACCACCTCCATTTAAAGACCATTTTTCTGTGGTCTTAAAATTACAATGTCTTTTATATTTATTATTCTAATTAGAGACTAAAACCTCTGAAAACCAGACACCCCAGTCCCAAAAGTGGTCTTTAATTGGAGGGAGACCTGTTTTAGGAAATGCAATCAATTTTTTTTTTTGGTATGCTTGGAAAAAATCAGTATCAGTAAAAATGTACAGTTGAATAAAGAAAAAGACCAAAACATCTTACAATCATCTCTACTCTGTACCATGACTCCTGAGGCATCATCATGTGACCTTGAAAGGTCTTTGAGATCTGGGGCAAGGCTCACAGCAGCAGACATAGCTAATAAAAAGATTTACCACTGTGTAGCAACAAATAACAATTGGTAGGTGAGCTGGAGAGTCTTATGCTACATCAGAATACTACAGAGAAAAATATAAAGATATCATCAAATGTTTCAATGGTGATTACTCAGAAAACTAGAAAATTAAAGCAAATTACCGTAAATCACATACTCAATCAGTGAATTAATTTAATAACCATTAGGTCTATCCCTCTAGGCCCTAACCTATGTCTACTAACAACATATTAAATGAGCTGAAATGCTAGGCCAACAATGACCAACTTGGTTTGTTTTAACTTTCCTAAAATTATCATATAAAACAATTTATGTTTGTAAAATCTATTTATTCACAATGAAGTCTAGTCAACAAGTATACAAATTTGGTAATATAATGAATCCAGTATGCATTTGTGGATGATAATATGGTATCATAAAATTATCATAAAACAAGAACTTTATGATGGTATGATGTTGTACTCATTAGATGAAGAAAGGGAACATGAATGTAATAAAAGGGTGTTTATTTATGCGAATGAATTCTGAATCTTTCCAACTTTTTTTTTTTTAAATTGAATACAATGGTTAGGTGCCTGACTATCGGCCGTTGAGAGCGCGATACTATGGCACCACTATCATTTTTATTTATTTAAAACCATAATTTGAGTGGGGGCGACCCTTACAGAATAAATCTGGTGTTCAGGGGCCCACTTAAATACAAAAATATAAAAAGTATGTAAAAATAAAGCCAACCTATCAATTTAGTCATAAAATTTAAAACAGCAAACATTAAAATACTAAAAAAATAAAATAATAAAAAGAAAGCAAAACAGACAAAGTAAACACACACACACACACCCCCAAACCCACACAGGAAAAAACCTAAGAAAAAGTGGAATATAAATCCTTGTTTAAATTTTCTGCAGCAACTCAACTGTCTGGACAGCCCTATATTGTTTTGGCTGCAAAGGTCGTATTTATTTTTTCCCTATGACCCGAAAATACTGATGACGTAGTTCACATTTTCCTCTGACCTCGTCATCAAACCAATTTTTTCCCACTTCGCGAAACGAGTGAATTTATTGCTGAAAGTTTTGGTTGTAAAAGACATGCAATTATTTCATAGAAGATAAGTTTATTTTGTTCTGAAACCAGTTTATTGTGTTAGATTATATATTCATCCACAACTGGGTGTAATATTTAGTTGTTCTGAATGAAACCTTGTTTTTGACAGTAAATAAAAAATTTGTCTGTGAATGGAAATTAACCAAATCTATCAAAGAAGTTAAAGCAGTTTTTGATCATTTTTCAAGAAAAGGTCAAATACTTTTCTATTGATTGCATTGGTTTTGAAGGACCAAATTTAAGCATAATTAATTAATAATTTCTTAAATTTGGTAACTTTGTTATTATTTGAAGGAGGACAATGATCTTGGTATCAATGTAATGCTACATTAATGCTTTTTCAAAATGGTACTGGCTGCAAAGGAATTCCTTGCATTCGAAATTTTTGTCACACAGTGGTGTAGGCCTAAAAAAATATTATTCTGCGGGAAAAATAATGCTTGAACAATGATTTTGAATACGGTATAAAATGTCAATATCTAGCCAGCTGTGTCATCAAAGGAGACGGGGGGGGGGGGGGGGTGGCATATGCCAGACTACTGAGTAGTACCACACTAGCCTAGTTTAGTATCTGGGCCTACAGGCTAGGCCTCTATACTACTAATAGTACCAGTACTACCAGTGAACAGTACTTCTCTAGCCTAGCTATCCTACCTGATGAGGCCTAGGCCCTAGGCCTAGTCTGGCTGGGCCTCTCTAAATCCTCTTACCGAACACTCTATGAACATGTTAGAATTTCATAAAACAATAAATCATATTACCTATATATTTATACAACGATATTCTTATGGAAAAAAAATTATGTTGCACAAAATTGAGAAAATCCCGTTTATAGCAGCCAAATTATGATCGATTGCATTAGTTTGTTGTCGTCAAGGTGCAATGTTAGCTGTTTGTTTGCATATTCTTTTCTCGTCAATAATCTGTGTTACCGCCCTCTATATGTGTCAAGAGTATTCTAAAAATTGAATTCGTCAAGTATTACGATAATACATATGATGATTACTGTGTTTTATGAAGTGAATTTTTATTTTTCATTACAAGAAGACAATATTTATATTAAATGATTTATTAACTTTTAGTGTTATTATTAATAAGCCCATCTTGATAATATTGACAGAATGTTGTTTGTCTGTGATTTTCCGCAATTGTTTATAAACTGGTATAAATTTCCCAGCATTGTAATATTCCCTATAAACTAACGGCAACGTCTCCTAGAGACTTGGCTTGGCCTAGTTAAGAATTGATTCATTTATTATTTGTTTTATTTCGTAAACAAAAAAGAGTGTTTTAATTTTCATACAGGACTAAATGCATTCAAGCATTAAAAAAAAAAGAAATCCATTATTATAAACCTGCCAAAAGAAAAGACAAAAGATTGGAAATTTATTATTTTATTAAATCATAGCCTATAACAGGAACAAATAAGAAGGTCAAAGTACGTCTGCCAACTATTTATTGAGCTAGCTGAAAATACAGACATTTGATATATACGGTAATGGGAATTATGGCGTGGCGTGGCAATTACCAATACTATGGTGCACAATACATGCAATACGCTTACATTGGTAAGCAAAACAGAACCGGTCAGCTTTCCGTCTAGGTAAGTGCCACATAACCCACAAGGTGTACCAGTGACAGGAAATAATTGTACCCATCATAGCCAATAAGTACGGTGTATTGCTATTGTATTATAATACTATAATACTATATTTCCACACTTCTAGTGCCTTTAGACATTATGGTTCGTCATACTATTAATACATTCTTTTAAATATAGTCGTTCTTCGCTCGTAACGTAGTCTTCAGCTCTTGCCACCTTTCATACGATGAAGAAAGAGATATTCTTCTGCTATTTCTTAATTTTTGCTGTTTAAATCTTCTTTTATTCCTTTCAAATTGAGGGAGGCAAGGCCTGCCCCTTCTCTTTCTTGAGTTCGTCGAAGACATAATGTAATAAAATGGCTATAGCTAATCCACTAATTTTGTTTTACGAGACGCTCGACGTATAAGCTGTTTATTTACGTATGTAAATTACTTGTCGTCTGCATGCATATTGATGATGGCGTTTTCCCCGTTGACCGGACCATGGTTACTGAAAATTACAGAGACGTATCACAAAACAAAGGATTAAAAGTAATCCGCGTCGATTTTTTGTGTGGAACACAAAAATTCAAAATTCAGTCTTATTTTGCATATTTTTCGTGTCTAGGAATGTTTATATTCAGTTACACTAGCAGTTTCGTATTATATTTATAAATCTTTCTAACATATATAAACATCAGATTTTTCATGAAAAATGAAATTTTGCCGTTAATGGGGCTTTAAGGTAACTGTTTGTTACGATGCGCGCAGAGAGCGAGGTGAATTGCTGTCTGAATTGCGGCAGAGGTACACTCTCCTCTTGACAAATTCCCAAGACACATGGAAAACCTGCACCACGAAATGATGGCACAGAGGGCTCCATTCATCACGGGTGGCGCCAGCGGGGGCCGGGGGCCAGGGGGAGTTGTCCCCCTGTCGGGGAGAAAAACCATAGTTCGTCGGGGAGAAAAAGTGTAGATGTATTTTCTACATATCATTAGACTTTGATTAGTAGGGAAAATCCTGGCGCCACCACTGCTCTGGATTGCAGACCGTACAGACAGATTCAAGTCCGTCATCTATCCGATATCACATCGAAGATTTCATTGCTTAGGGTTTTTGAAATAGTTAAATTCAAAATTGTAAAAAAAGTAAGGTATTTTTGTGGCTTTTATTTATTTTTTTATATTGACATTGATCATTATTACTACCTTATTATTAATATCCTTATTAAAATTGTTCCTTAATTAAACTATTACTAATGTCATACCTCCATGCTAATACAACTGTGCTATCTTTGTTATCATTATTATTGCTTCATTCCGATGTTGATGCAATGTATAGATGGTCTCAGGATTGGCAGTTACCTTTTAATTTGACTAAATGTATTCATTTTGGTTTTAAGAATCCAACATATCAATACTTTATCGGTGAAGAAGCTTCTAAAGTTAGCATTCAGTGTGTTATACAAGAAAGTGATTTAGGAATTTTGACTGATAACAAATTAGATTTCTCAGCCCATGCTACAAAAGTTGCAAGTTCTGCTAACAGTCTGCCAACTATTTATTGAGCTAGCTGAAAATACAGACATTTGATATATACGGTAATGGGAATTATGGCGTGGCGTGGCAATTACCAATACTATGGTGCACAATACATGCAATACGCTTACATTGGTAAGCAAAACAGAACCGGTCAGCTTTCCGTCTAGGTAAGTGCCACATAACCCACAAGGTGTACCAGTGACAGGAAATAATTGTACCCATCATAGCCAATAAGTATAGTATTGTATTATAATACTATAATACTATATTTCCACACTTTTAGTGCCTTTAGACCTTATGGTTCGTCATACTATTAATACATTCTTTTAAATATAGTCACTTCCTTAAGGTAACTGTTGTTACGATGCGCGCAGAGCGAGGTGAATTGCTGTCTGAATTGCGGCAGAGGTACACTCTCCTCTTGACAAATTCCCAAGACACATGAAAAACCTGCACCAAGAAATGATGGCACAGAGGGCTCCATTCATCACGGGTGGCCGGGCGCCAGCGGGGGCCGGGGGTCAGTTAGAGTTGTCCCCCTGTCGGGGAGAAAAACCACAATTCGTCGGGGAGAAAAAGTGTAGATGTATTTTCTACATATCATTAGACTTTGATTAGTAGGGAAAATCCTGGCGCCACCACTGCTCTGGATTGCAGACCGTACAGACATATTCAAGTCATCTTCCGATATCACATCGAAGATTTCATTGCTTAGGGTTTTTGAAATAGTTAAATTCAAAATTATAGAAAAAGTACGGTAAGGTATTTTTGTGGCTTTTATTTATTTTTTTTATATTGACAATGATCATTATTATTACCTTATTATTAATATCCTTATTAAAATTATTTCCTTAATTAAACTATTACTAATGTCATACCTCCATGCTAATACAACTGTGCCGTCTTTGTTATCATTATTATTGCTTCATTCCGATGTTGATGCAATGTATAGATGGTCTCAGGATTGGCAGTTACCTTTTAATTTGACTAAATGTATTCATTTTGGTTTTAAGAATCCAACATATCAATACTTTATCGGTGAAGAAGCTTCTAAAGTTAGCATTCAGTGTGTTATACAAGAAAGTGATTTAGGAATTTTGACTGATAACAAATTAGATTTCTCAGCCCATGCTACAAAAGTTGCAAGTTCTGCTAACAGGATTCTGGGAATGATTACAGGTCTTTTAAGTGTCTTGATAGTAAAAGTTATATGTATCTATATCATGTATATGATTACCTAAGATGGAGTATGGTGCCAGTTCATATATACCTCTTTATCAAAAAGATATTAATCGTTTGGAAAAACTTCAACAGCGGTCTACAAGGCTTGTGTTGAATTAAGAAGTTTTTAAAAAGAGTTTGAAGGCATTTGGACTACTACTACTCTAACGTTCAGGAAGAAAAGGGCTGATTTAATTCAAGCATTTAAATGTTAAAAAAAATATTGATAGGATAGATGAAGAGAAGCTCTTTCAAAGATCTAAATTCCAGAAAACTCGGGGTCTGACTACCATCTCAAGTTCCGCCTATATGTTTCTGAAGAGTTTGTTGTGCTGACTTTGGAGGGACAAACGAGCTAATGCTCTAGTCCTAAGGTTCAAGGTAATTCAAGGTAATATTATCATGAATTTAATTGTTCGTTTAGCGATTTACTGACTGTGTGACGTGCGTGTGTGTGGGGAATTCCCAACTAGCTAAATAAAATAGAGGGCGGAATAACATATATTTTGCACACAGTCTGATGTAAAAATGTAAGTAAGCAGAAGTTGGGTACAGAGGTAATGATGATTGAACCTTTTACTGGCCAAATTTTGCTTTCTTTTCTAGGCTAGGCCTAGCCTAAATTCACATATAGTTATCTAGGTTAGGTCTACCTAGATTACACACCTGTTCGGGGGCTAGGCTAGCCGGAGCGGATCTGGCTTCGTACGCAGGACAGAAGTATCTAGCCTAGGCCTACCCTAAACCATGGCATAGGCTAGGCCCTCCCTACATAGCCTTGGTTGGTCTAAATAACAACTCCCTGGTCTAGTTCCCCGTCTGATTGTAGGCCTATATTTAATTTACCGATGTTGTTTAGGCTAGTTTAGTCTAGTAATATAATAGTACTATAGTATCATCACTAGGCCTAGCTAGCCCCCCCCCCCCCCATTTTGTTTGGTTGTTGAACGTTGTGCTGAAATGAAGGCTTTTTAAAGGAATATCTGCTCAGGCTGCCATCGACAATCAGCAAATGGTGTTGCATTGCCAGTGCCACAGATTTAACCTGTAAGAAAGTAGATTCATTGGCTGGCAGTTTTCAATGCAGTTGGTGGGGGCACACAATACTCCACGTCCAGTAAGCTTCAGCCGATTTCAAGTGAGACCCAATGAATGGTATTTGATAGTAGTACCAGTACTAGCTAGACTAGATTAAATCTTGAGTTGAGAGCATTGTTGGTGCCACATATTTTTTTTCAATACCGTAATTCAAAACTTAATTTCTTCACATCAAGGCTTAAACTTCTCATCCGAAAGACGGTGCACTATCATAACTTGCATTTCAGCCCTCGAGCTGAAACACAAGGAGAGAGCATTGGAAATGAATTTAGCCAACGGATCTAAACCGCTCTTTTCTTTTCAGAAAATAAAGTTGCTGAGAGGAAGCCCTCTGGTGGTATGTCGGAAAATGAAGTTACAAATAATAGGTCCTATGATGTTATTACTTGTGCTGAACACAATATTTACTAATATATTACCAGTGATTGGCAAAGACTATGTTTTTGAGAAACGGACATTTTGGAACAAACTTATTACGCCAACATCCTGGTGTTTTCGGAAAGAATGCTGCACAGACACATATATAACTCCAAATATTACAAGTGAGAATAGTCTGAATGTTCCATTATTTAATTTGGCAAAATTAAATTTACAAAGCAAAAAGACACGAAGAAAGAAATGATTGATGAATGGCTAAGGCGAGACTTTTTTTATACCTTGTTTAGCGATCCGCTGAATGCAAAAATATTGATGATTTCGAATAAAAATAAAATTTTATTTTTGGCCAATTAGCGCACCTGCCACCACGAAAAAATATAAGTTTCAGAAAAAAATAAAAGTTTTTCTTTATTTTTATTATGCCCTCCACTGCCTTGAAATCTCCAAAGATAAAATATGTATATTTCTTCCTAATTATATAAATCTGAAGCATCTAACCATCCCATTTTACATTCGCCAATAAAATTTTATTTTCTCCTTCGTCTGGATGTTTTTGGCAAAACTAATTGCTAAATAAGAAAACAAAATTTAATTTTTATTTTTTATTTCGCCCTCTTCTGATGATCTTTAAAAAAATATAAGTACGCAAAACAAGGAAAAAATGTCTTGTCTAAACAAATGAATGCATAGATAGATTTTGAATGAGTAGATAGATAGATGGATGGATGGATAAATAATGAATAGATGAATAGATTGATGGCTGGATGGATAAACAAATGAATGAATAGATAAATTGATGGATACCAGGGTGGATTGATAAATAAAGAAGGTATAGATATGAATAAATAAATGAATGGATAGATAAATTGATGGATGTATTGATAAATAAAGACATGGATATTAATAAATAAATGGATAGATAGATCTATGCATTAGTAACTAATTTTCTTCTTAATTCTTGGTTTTAGATACATTAATTCAATGTGGATATTCATAAACTATTTTGCTTTTTTCTATGGCAATTTAACTACGTAACCATCATTGTTTTTCTTAACAGAATTAAAGGAAGAATTTAATAAAAAAGTGTATGGTCAACCTTTAGTATATGAAGTTTTACCCAAAGCTATCAATGCACATTTTGAGAACGTACCAAACAAGGCTCTGGTGCTTTCATTTCATGGGCGCACTGGTGGAGGAAAGAATTTTGTCAGCCAAATCATTGCTGAGAGCCTATTTCAAAAGGGAATGGATAGCAAATTTGTGCATTTATTTATTCCAGAGCTACATTTCCCACACAAACATCAGATAACACGTTACAAAGTAAGATTAATCACTGCTTTAGAATTACTTGTTATAATGATAATGTTTGAAATTTGGATATTGAAAGGTTACTATGAAATATTTTTATATACTTTGTATGTACTTTATATGTACTTTATATACTTTTAATTTACTTAGATATATACAATTTTTATACTTACACGACGATATTCAATTGTATTTTGTCAAGGTACTTCATGTTTGATTTTGGGTGTTGGTTTGCTGTCATATTCATTTCACTTTATTTCAGAATACCTCCATAGATAAAACACCTACATAGTATACAATGTGGGCCCTATTACAATATACTGAGTATTTATAATAGAATTGAACTTATTTATGAATCTTTTAGGACCAACTACAAAATTGGATCAGGGGCAATATGTCAACTTGCCCAACTCAACTCTTCATCTTTGATGAAATGCAGAGCCTGTTGCCAGAATTATTAGATGTTATAAAACCATTTATTGACTATTATAACCATAAAATTAATGGTGTTGATTATAGAAGGGCCATCTTTATTTTTCTAAGGTACATTTGAAATTTATTTTTATAATTTCAGTAATATTATAGTTGTTTAAATTATATTTACAAATTTATTGCCTGCAGGATCAAATGCATTAAAGTTACTGTACTATATTCAAATGACTTTATGTGTAGTGTATCACCTATTTAAACAGCACCCTCTAACTGTAAAAACATACTGTGCTAAGGATGTTAATTTTTGTCTATCTCATCTTTAGTGCTAATCACATTTCCATTTTTTTTCATTTCTGTTTAGTTCAACCTCAGGGAATAACATCACAAGCGTAGCATTTAAAGCATTTAAGAATGGGCGCAAACGTGAGGATGTCACCCTGAGAGAATTTGAAAACGGTATTCGATTGTCCTCTTACAAGCACCAAGGGTCTGGCCTATGGCACAGCAAGCTGATAGAACATCATCTAATTAGTCATTTTGTACCATTTTTACCCCTCGAACGGCAGCATGTAAGAAAATGTATACAAGAGGAGATGCGAAAGAGAGGCATGCCAAAATGCCCAGAAACCGAGGATGAAGTCTTAGAATATTTGAACTTTGGCCCAGATGAGGCCCCTATCTATGCTGCGAAGGGTTGTAAGAATATTCATGAGAAACTTAATCTTGTTAGCAACTGGTAATAATTCAGTTCGTAGCCAATGGGGGGGTGTGTGAATGCTTTCATGGTTAGGCGAACCCACTTTTTCAACAAACACCACCCCCTCCCCCCCCCACCAAAAAAAACCCAAAATACACACACCTAAGGTAAAGAAGGAATCCGTATCTGATGCACCAGACTACACATAAAATAATGATACAGGATATTTGTTAGCCCCTTCTGAATGGTTTGTAGACCTCTTGCAGTCTTAATTGTTTTTATAGCATTTTCCCGTAACAAAAATAATTCTCTGGCTTCAGGGATTTTCCCCTGGGCCCCATGCCTAGAATCCCATCTCCTGGCTACAGGCCTAATGCAGTATTATTCTAAAGCCCTGTAGAGACTATCACATTTTGTGTGACAGAACATGTGACATGCCTAAATATGGTCATGATGACATCACATCATCACCATATATAGGCACATCATGACTATATATGGGCACATCATGACTATATATGAGGCATGTTGTGGCAAAATGGCTAAGTTGTAGCAAAAATTGAAATTCAAGTCATTGGTATTTTCAAATACCTGAGTATGTGATCTTTAAAATGAGGGGTCATTCGTTCAAATTGGACATTCCAAACCTAAGTTAATGGAAAGTGAAAGTACAGTACCCTTAGAGTCAAGATAAACAGGATTTTGAGTAATTGCCTTTCAAAGTTATTTGTGCATACATTTTTTAATAGAATGAACTATGAAAAATAACGTTAAATAAACAATTTGTTAACCACTTCCAGAACTAATACTTTGAGACATGATTAATAAGACATTAAACTGTTGACCTATAGTGAAAAACAAATTTGGATTTTTTAGCAATTTTTTGAGCTCCCATATTTTATAGCTCATTTACTCAATACTGGACTATGCGACAACTTTACCATTTCGCCACAACATGCCTCATATGGGCACATCATGACTATATATGGGCACATCATGACTATATATGGGCATACAACAGTTGTTTGTCAAAGAAAATTTGATAGTCTGGACAGAGCTTGAAAGGTAGGTGTTGATATATTAAACATGCAGGATATAATTCAATGCTTAAATTGTTTACTTTCTATATTGTTTAAATAAAGTTATTAGCTTTCATTTTAAATTATGGAACAAGAACTTTTTTTCTCACCAACAGATGTTTAATAATACAATCCAATATACAAAAAAACTGTTGTATGTCGATATATAGTTATGATATGCCTATAGTATATATGCTCATGATGTGATGTCATAATGACCATATTTATCCATGTCCCATGTATTTGTCAAATACAGTTTAATGGGCTGGACAGAGCATTAAATTGTATGTTTAGTCAATATAAATATTTTTTTTTTAGTAAAAGTAATATTACAGTAGTTTATATTGATTTGTGCCTCATTGTATAGAAATATTGAATGAGTCAAATGGAAAATTCAAATGAAAATATTCTTTCAACGGCACAAATACTGTATCAACATGCATTTCATGTTTTTCATATATGTATTCAGACAAGTGCCTTTAGATTGGATTCACCACTGAAAATCATGATTTAGGGATAATACAAATAGCCTACCAAATGTCGTCAAGTTCTTGGGGACAAAACATTTTTTTTTTGTCTCGTTTTCTGACCTGGGTAGGAATTATACAAAAGTAATTATGATGAGAATTGTGCAATCTGAATCATAAATCATAAATGTCCCGGAGGCCATTTAGGGGAAAAAATAAACTGGCTGTATAGTGTAAGGATAACATTTGTTGCTGGAGGCACAACATGTTTTTTTCAGGCCTAGGTCATTATCTCTGCGCCATTTATGTGTTCTTCCAAAAATAGATGTTTTGATTGTCAGAGATTCTTTTTTTTTTTTTTTTTGATGTTTTTATTGTCAGAGATTCCCTAACGCACATCTAGATGCCTAGAAATGGCAGTCAGACCAAAAAGCTTTTTCAAAGCAGTGTCCCCCCCAAAAAAATGATTGGCTTCTTCCCCACCAGGGGTTGTGTGCCCCCCCCTCCTGACATCACCACTTTTGATAATTGCACAAATATATCTGGAAAACCGCTTGTATGTATGTACATGAACTTAAATGGTTATTGAATTTTAATACAAATCTTTAAGCTTATTGCAAAGAAACATCAATACATACATAATATAACATTCTTACAATAATGAATAAAATAAGGAAATTTAAATTATAATGGTAGATAAATTATGTACCGTAGTACCTGTGAAGGAAATTAATATTACCACTAATTATCTTAAAGAGACAAATATTATTTAATCGACTCAAAAACTACTTTGTTGAGAATAAAAAAGTGTGATTACAAGCAAATTTTGAACTTGTATATAAAGTTCAAAATCCAGATCATCAATTGCTAGCGGCATTTTGGAGACCTCCCAGACAGTAGGCTTAACATGTTTGCTGCCAGCAACGAGTATACTTGTCCCACAGTGTGTTGCTGAGGGCGCCAGGGACGATTATACTCGTAAAAATCGGGGTAACATTCCAGCATTTATTACTTCTTTGTTATACATTGTGGAACTACAGACTTAAGAGCTGGTAGTTTGGGGAAGATACACCTAGATGATAACATACAAATGACATATATGTTTGATGTGTTATGTTGCCGGCAGTACCCTTGAGCAGCACAAGTGGGGGCGCCCTTTGAACATATACCAACCCATGCAAAAAGCGGACGAGAAAACTTGTACAAGTCAATAAAAAGTGCTGTCACAGTGCTGCCTAAGAGATTACTCCTCCCCTAATATTTTCCCGCAAATTTTTATGATATATGACTAGATAAAATTTCAAAAAAAGTATGTTTGTACATTTAAACTTGTTTTGGTACACGAGAAGGAAGTTAGTTAGTTGTCACTCTTGACAACTACAGTATATACCAAGGGTGAAACAGCATGAACCAATTAAGATTACCGAAACAATGCAAGTTATTTAAACCTGGCTAAATTCTTCAAAATGATTTGACATACGTTAGATTATATTTAGGATGCCAAACTTACTGCAATATTAATTGTCTTTAATATTTAAAAAAATTTTGTACAATTACATTTTCCATAATTTGTTTATATGGACAACCAACTGTGTATGTAAATTTGTAATTTCATGGAGTGCATGTTTCTTCCATTCTTTTAAGGTCATCAAATATTTAATATAAATTAATATAAATAAGAAATATAGTATAGGTCATTATCATTATTATTATCATAAATCCTCCTTTATAAATATATTAGTATAGAGCCAGCTCATATCAACTTCATATACATATTGATTAAAAGCTATGCAAGGTTTATCACAATATGATGGAAGCCTACACCAATGCAGTGCATTGGGTAGTAAATGTAATAACTTCAAAGGAAATTATTCCATCTTTTAGTTTACTTTTATTGCATGCTTGCTCAGCAGCTGTCTCAGCAGAAAGATCACTCAACATGTTTGGTTAGCTTGGGATTAAAATCATTCTATTATAAGTGAGCCATCACTTTTACCTCATTAGACCTCTATGATTTAGCTCCGCTCAAGTTTAAATAATGCTAATAAAATGAGCCACCCTTCTGGCTGACACTTCCACATCATTAGATCTCTATTTTAGGTTGGTTGAATTTAAATCATTCTATTCCTGAAAATTGAGCCATCCCTCCTGCAATTGGCTTACACTTTCAACTCATTAGATCTGTACACTTTAGCTTGGTTCCAAGTTGATAAAAACTATGTAATTAAACCAATCCAATATTAATTAGTAGGATTTTTTTTACATATCCATAGTATAGATATATTACGTGGGATTTATTTATTACATGGGATTGATACTAACAAATATATGCAGTATAAAAAAATATCAGAAACTATAAATCAAATCAATTGTGCTTCTGTTTGCAGAGAGTAAACATCTGCTATCTGTATGTGCTCAAGCTTTTGTGACACCATCTGCCTATCATAGAATATTAAAAAAAACACCTATAAAATATAATTTAAACACTGAATAGACAATTTAAAAAGACCATAGTAAGTTATTAACTTCCAATGCAACAGACGTCAATAAGACAGAGGTCAAAAGATGTATAGACATTATACACAATAACAATCTTCCGACTAATTTACCAGCCAAATTAATTGTCTATAAAAAGAATACTGAATGGTATTATTTATGTATCCATTAAATTTTCAAGAAATTTCATTCTCAATCGCATTTCCACTGAAAGCTAATAACTTATAAAAGGTATAGAAATATTGCTATTCTATTGGCCGTCAGTGGTGCAAATTAAGCAGATTCTATCTTATGACGTCAGTGCAAGATTTATCACCACATACGACTTGAGGTTCCATAATAAATTTTAATAATTTTTATGTGAATTGGTCAGTTGATGTGCTCAGTGAGAGACAGTTGCACAAAAAGAAAAAAACATAATTCAACATTATTCTGCAATTTAAATGGTGTTATGATATCTACATTATAGAAGTTTGGAAATACGGCCTTTACAACATAAACTGTAAAAGCATAATGAAAACAGAAAAAATGCTTCAAAAGCTCCATACTTGTTTACACTTGAGAGAGGCCAACTATCACAGAAAAACAAAATATTAGGTGTTATTCAGAGATATACTTGTAACTTGTTTCACTATAGTGCCCTCTACCGTTTTAAATTCAGAGTTCAGCCTTTTAGTATGAAAATAATGTTTTTAATAATAATAATTACTATATTTAATACCTCCTTGCTTTGATAATACTATAGAATATATAAACAAAAAATGTATTTCAGTGGTTCATTGTATGTTTATTATTGGTGGTTTTCTTTTGTGAAGTGTGGGCTGGTTACATTTTCATACAGTACATAACAATATATGCAGAGAGATTTAAGTTATGTGAGCTTTGTTTAACATATCTTGTACTTTGATCTGTGGTGTGATTTCCACAGCAGGTGACTTTAGGATGATAATAATAAAAATATAAACTAATCGTCAATTATTCTTAAATTACAGGAAATGGGTTAGTTTGCAGTGGATGTTTGCTTGCTTGTGGTGGGAGTGCAGACTACCATGTTTATTTTTTGGAGAATACACACTACTTGCAGGAGACGCATGTTCCAAACTTTAACAATGGACAAATTGTAACAGACATTTAAAGACGATTATTTAGTAAGTTATACACAACCACTTTGATAAGGAGTATAAATTACTATTATTATTGTTATTAGTGATATTGGTATATAATAGCTCCATTCCTAATATAATAAATTTTATCCATGATGCAGTTGTGTAGAGTATTGGTATTCACTGATGACAGAAGTTGATAGCAAGAACGTCGTCCGCCCCTGACAAGAGAGCAGACAACCTATTCAATCTTTGTGCCAAACAACTGTGGATGTCAATTCAAAAATGTAATCAGAAGAATGATGCGCATTTATTTCATTTCTCCATCTGTATCCAATTTCTTCTTCGGTGTATGTAGGCAGACAATCCCTTCAAAGTTTGTCACACATCAAATATCAGCGACTTTTCTCTCACGTTAGATTACACCATATTTTTTACAAATTTATATGGCATAGTCAGGGTAAAATCCATCAAATTACCATACGACTAAAAAAAGTTCTATTTTGGTTTTGTGTTAGAAAATTTTTTAAGGTCGGCAATCTGGGTCCACAAAAGATTTTTTAATTCATTGAGAATGAGAGAATGTTTTAATTGCATATCTGAGTCAGTGGTCACTAATTTGATGCATTTATCTAAGTTTTCCTGAATCTTTTCTTTGATGCTATCAGGTGCACGATACAATAAATAATTGTAAATCATACTGCAGACTTTCCGTAGATTTGGGAATAGAATCTCACCAGTACAGTGCTGCGTTTCCATGTTACACAAAGATCTGCAGTCATTGCCTACAACACAGTCTACGTTCTTGTGACACGGGAATTCTTTAAGCGTGTCAATTAGTTTATTTTCTAGATAAATATTGTCTAAATCAAGAACTTTCACATCAAAATTGTTTGTGTATCCTATAGAATGTCTATTGGCATTACAAAAATGCATATTTCCTTTTGGGCTATCGTACATTTCCTCAACAAATTCTAACAAACCGACTGTGATGTGTGCTTTATGATACCACTGCGGTGCGGCCGCTTGTTCACTCGCCGATTTAAGACCTGCAGGGAGAATAGAATAGACGAATCCTGGAAGATTGCTGCCGTATAACTGGTAATCCATTACGCCTTCTGTTATGTACATGCTACCACAGAACCCGTACAACTTTGGGATGTGGTCGCTTTCAATCATCAACATTGTGTTCAGAAACTCCTTCTCCTGTAGCAGCGCCCACATGGTTTTTGCTTCTGCCAGCGAAACCTTACCATCGTTATTCACATCAGCAACTTCCAAAATTTTCATCACTACATCCTCGTGATCCCCCTCACCGAACTTCCGTGCAAGATATCCTGACAACATGATGCGGAAATCATCCATAGACTTTCCTTTTTCCGGTTTTGCGTAAGCTACCTCAGCTGGTTCAAATCGTTGTTTAATAGTAAGGAAAGTATCAGGAACCTTTTTCTTCCTGTTCTTAATGCCTCTAATTAATCCTTCATATACCTGGGAAAAAAATTTAGAAAAAGAAACAGTAAGCAATTATTTAATCACATGATTAAACATAAAGTATCATACTTCTGGCCTTAACTCAAAATATCGCATACATCACAAAGATGCATACAGTTAGAGGCACTAAAGTACATGTTCTGTGCAGACATACAGGCAGCAATCTACCATTAGCAAAGTGCATACTGAATTTTAATTAGAATAATTCAGATGGTTAAAATTCATAATTCAAAGTTTTTGGGTGCAGTGTATCACTATTGCATATTTTTCCCGGTTTGCTACTGGCAAATGAATCAAGTAAGTAGAGCTGTAAAGGCAATCTCTTGTTCTTCTGCAGTATACATTACTGTACCACCCTTACAGTAAGCATACTTACCCTGTAAGTGCTAAAAATCTAGAATTTCATATGATTGATAAACATATGACAGTATATATTACAAATGTAAACATATATTATATATTAAAGCCGGAACTCCCCTACTTTAGCAGGCGTCGCCACCTTAACAGTGCACTGTAGCAGAGCCGAGGCTTATCCAAGGTGGAAGCTACTGGAGCCTAGCAAACTTTCACCGGGGTACCTGTGCCTACACGGTTGTGGTGGGGACGCCGTCTTAACATCAGGAGTGCGCATTTTCCTTTCCCTTTCATGTTCACAGTTTTTTGGCCAGTTTTGGCCGCCATCTGACTTCATTTCTTGCACAGCTTGTTTGCTTATTTTATTTTTCATTTATATTTTAAATTTGATTTAAATTTTTATTTTTTCAATCCGACTTTGGGTCTGTATACTTTTAGCGCCTTGAGACAATTTTATTGTGGAAAGCGCTCTACAAATATCCTACCACTACCGTTACCATATAAACAAACAAAATTATTTGGTAAGAATAACAATGATATAGTGATTATAGTAACATTTCACACTGCATATGGTACTCCTTATACATTCCACAGTAAAAACCTAGCTAAAAGGTTAATAAATGATTTTAATATCTACAAATAGGAAAAATATTCACAATGGAAATGTAGTGTCCCCATTCAAACATTGCTCTTTCAACCTCATTTGGTTGCTCTACACATGAGGTCAAACTGGTACAATACACTCTTAGCCACATCTTAGGATCCACTAAAACAACATTAGATGAAAATTTGACAATTGCAATGTCAATTGCATCTCAATTGGCCCATTTTATTTCTTTTAATGACACATCTTTGCAGCATAATGCTATGGATTTAGGTTTTGAATTCCCCATTTGCAAGTGTGAACTTTCAAAGACTGAAAGGTTTATACTGTAGTGTTCAGCCCATGTCACATGCATAGTTACTAACCTGAAAGATTTCAAATGTGTACGTGTACACTATTGGTCTATTGGCTATTAACGTAAATGGAATAGTGTAGATTGATTTTGCATATAGAAACCCAATAAAAATAAGCCTCTGGGCTTGATTGGCTTATCCCATTATATCTAATATTTTTCCCCCCTTTTCAATTTTGATGTACAGTAAGTGTATGTTCAGTAATTTTCCGTATAAACTATGAAAAAAAAAAAAAACACTGCTTGGTATTATCTGGTTCTGTACTTAATACATACATTATTAACTGTATTTACCAAGGACATCAAAAGTTGCATTTTACATTTAATTGCAGATAATTATAGTATCCCCAGTGCACAGTGTCATTATTATAATATGTTTTTGTGTGCTTGAGTTTATAATGCTTGCTACTTCATTATGCAGTGTTGAGAAGCAGTGTTGTATCAAGGGGTTTCACATGGGGAGGGGGATAGTTGGATTTCAAATCGTTTTTCAGTAGGTTGATTTGCATGATTTTACTTACAAACAAGCTGGCTATGTACAGTATATACTGTGCATGGTTGTAATCTTGTTGTAAATAAACTGCTTTTGATGCCTATTGTTTGAACTTTTCAACAACCAAATCTAGGCTACAGAAATTCTGCGCATGCTCTGCGGACCCCACGGTTGAAGAAATCCATTGGCTGTTATGACTCACACTATTCCTTCGCTTTAAGGGCTTAATCACCAACAGAAGAGGCAAATATGGCCGGGGTCTTGGCCTGTAGTTCTTACACTCCATGCAATGTCAATGGCCAAGGCATAAAACACACTGAACTATGTATGTGATCAGCTACTAGATTTCATTCAGAAAATCACTCTTGTCAACTCAAAATTTTGTAATCAAATTTACATTTTTTTTCATTTTTTTTACTCATGCGTAATGTACAGGACCATCATCACCACCATTATCTCAGCCTCATCATTGCCATTTACTATTTGAACGATACTGTACTTGATCATAATCATTATCTTCATGAGTAAATTCAACAACACCAGCAAAATTACCACAGACCTACCAAGTCTCAGTGTCAGTCACACATTCAGGGTCTGTCTCGCACTCTCATGCTTAAGGACAAAATCTCATGCATTAATGTGTAATATAATATAATGTACATTTAATCTTCTGATTTAATGTTTATTCAAAAGCTTAAAGAAAAGCTTATATTATGTTTTTAAGCATTTTACATAATTTAATACTAGCCTGATATTTTTATCCCAAGAAAGAAACTCTCATATTTTTATTTGACAGATTTTACATTTACGATCCAATTTAATGATTAATGCTGGAGATGTATTTATATGTTTAAAGAAATTTGCTTTATATGTAATGTGTGTACTTAATTGCATTGTGGTGACCGATAATTATGTCACAATTGTCAGATAATAATGATGATGATGATGATGATGATGATGATGATGATGATGATGATGATGATGATGATGATGATCACAGAGATTCCAAATTAGAGATAAATTTCAAAAAATCTGCCTAGGTTTAAAAGGCTTGATTCCCTATTATACAGTATATAAATGGTAAAAACATAAATATTAGCTTTCTTAAGCCTTTGCTCAACAACATTGAAGTACCTGACTGTGATTAGTATTCAAACTTCTGCACACATAGTACACAAATTGCATAACAAATGATCCAACTACACTGCAAAATCTTAAGTATTATCTTAAGTGGTTTTCTGTTTGATAGCAGCATTTATTACTTAATGACAAGGAGTTGATGGCGGAGACATTAGTCCTACATTCTGTCTCACCAATCATTATTTAACCAGGTATCTCCTGGATCATAATAACATGCACAAATTGGCGAGATGGAGGACTCTTCCCATTCATTCATTTCTACTACTATATTTACTACTATTTATTTATTTTATAATAGTTGGGGCAAACAATACAAAAACATACATGAAAACATTTTAAAAAAAGAGATCGAAAAACAAATAAAACCAACAGCCATAGCCCAGGAGAGACCAAATAGCGTTAGCTAATAGTAAAGGCCTTCCGAACAATACAATCAAAACCCATAGATACGTAAAATATCTGTATGTGATGAGTTAATATACTATATGAAATCCAATATTTAAATTGTTTTGTTTAATTTAAAGATTATGTCAAAAAAAACCCGAACGAATTGCTCGCTTTCTACACTTCAATAATTCATTAGCTTTTTCATTTCAACACAAAGAGGATATCTTAATAAATAGTAAACACCATAATTTAAATTAGAAAAGAACAATTTATGCAATAATAATAATAAAACAAAATAATGTTATAAAAATTTAGGACCTCTTACAATATAAACATGAATAATAAAGCACTAACTTAATTAAACTGCTGTACTGGTTTGAAACTAGGTCAACAGATACAAAAGCCAATTTGTTAAAGTAGGTCTAAAGTATGTATTTTAAATCAACACATAATTGAACATACATACATAATGTACACTATGATACCGCATAAATATTAATTACCTGTAGGTAATAACAACATTTCATTGGTCAATTCCATTCAGAATGCTGTAGTTTTGACTACTTACCTGTGCATGCCAAATTTATGCAGATGTTGGGGGGAAAATGTAGTATGTAAAATCAACTACCACACCCCCATCTAAGTGAACCGTATGCAAATTGTGTAATTTTAAGCTCACGGATCAAAATGGCTTCCATAGACAGAAGGCTTTAGGTTTAATTATGTCTTATAGTTTAAACAAATATAACATGTTTTTATTTTGGTAAAGCAGTGAATTCTACTTCCCTCATTGTTGGATGATTGGCAATACTCAGTGGGGGATCCAGGAATTCAAAATAGAGGGGGCCTAGGGAGGCACTTCCCACTCTAGGTGGGATGACTGGAAGGCAATCTCAGACCTAACTTTTATTAATACTTTTTTTTTTCTCAATTTTTTTATTTTATTTTGAAAGATTTGAATCTGCCACTACTACTAGTCCCAATAAATTCCACATTGGGAAATGGAATTCACTACTTTACCAGAATAAATCCATGTTGTATTTGTATACTACCACAGACTATACTATACTACTTACCTGGAATGATGGATTAGTGGACATGCATCTCTTAATTTCAATCTTTTCTGTGTCACAGAACTCAGAACATTTCGTGCCAGTAATAATTCCTTTCTTGAAACGATCGCACTAGGATGGAAAAATGGTTATAGTGGCTGTCACTTGATCAACCAATCAATAAAATCAATCAATTCAATAAATCAACCAGTCAATCAGTATGAGTTTGTACACAAGAGAACTTTCTGTGCTATTGTTTTGTGTTGCTACAGATTTTTACTGAACTATTGGATTTGTAAGCTTCCTGTAAGCTTTCAAGAGTAATATTTGTGCTATTAATACTTCAGATTTTTGTCCCACCACAGCTAGCCTAGCTAGGCTTTACAACTAGCATACACATTGTCACTGGAAAAAACCACAACATTTGGGGTTTGCTAAAGGAAATGTCTTGCAAGAAACAGAGTTCCTGATTAGCTGTAATTGTCTGTGATATGTATAAACATGAAGATGACAGGCTTAGAGACAAATCACACTTGATAGTTATGTCGGCTCAGGACCGCCTCAGCATTTTTTAAGTGTGAACAATTAATACATTTTAAGTCGGGCCAAAGGCGACCTAAATTTGGTCTGATGTCGCCTCATGTCCCGCAATGCAGAACATGGTCCGACTCATCTTCATATCTGAATGTAAACTGAACCTAGGTCACCAAGGTCGGCTTGATAGCGGCCAATTTTGACATCTTATACACAAAACATCGCACAAAGCAGGACGTGTGAACATTCGCAATGTGACGCTGAGCCAACTTAAAATAATAACCGCGAACAGAACGGCATAAGTTAAGGCGGTCCTGGGCTGATATAATAAGTATGATTAGTCTCTAATCTTAGGGAATTAGCTGCAGATGAATACCACACAAACAGATAAACATTGCTTCTCTATTTTCTTCAACTCTCATCATGTATAAAAAATGAAGTTATTTCCTCCAAACACATTACTCTTTTATTTGTATCTGATTCAACTTTCTTAAAATTACAAATTGCTTTTGTTTTATGTTGCAACTGAATACTGCAAGCAACTAACACACACTATTTATTGTGAAACCATTGTCTTACAATGGAATATATTGTTTTCAAACAAAATATTTTTTTTACTGAGATCATTCTACTACATAAAAACTTGTTTTTCATTTAATTCAAGAGGCATATCCAAGAAAAAAACAAAAGTGGAATGAGCTGGACATAGCAACTGTAGTCAGTCAGTTTAGTGCTTAGGATTTTGGCATTTCAACAGGATTAAAGCAGGTATACCCTTAATTACAAAATGATCATGTAGGACTATCCCTTCAAAAGAGTAATGCCAGTAGCTTTTCCTCATAAAATTTAATGATAAAATATTAACAAATTTAAGAGAATTTGCATGGTTGGACATCAGTCAGTATCTTAAAACCGGAGCAAATTTGCATTAGAGGACATGGCCCTATATTTATGTTAAGTATCAGGCAAACAAAGATATTTCTGATTGGCTGCTTAGGCTGTGGACTAAATTTAATGTGTAGTGTAAATATTAATACTCAAAATATAGAATATGAAATTGATAATCTAGTTTGATGCAGAATGCATTGAAAACATTGTATAAAAAAACAGACATTTCAAATTATGATTAAAAACTAGCATTTCTGAAAATATTTCATATTCAGTGAAACCACTTTACACAAAGTTTCCACAATATTTCCTTGATGCATTTTCCAATAAAAATCAAAGTTACGCATATCAAATTTCAAACAGATGCGTGAATAATTTTGTATTACTACAGTAGGTCTAAAGTGTACTTACTGTTAGTGCCTTAATGGTGTGTATATTACACAGCTGTTCTTCTGCTGGTGAACCAATATAAAACCACCACCCCAAGCAAAACACCAACATCCATAATAGCACAACATGCTTAACTTTCAGGTGGGAACGGTGCTGTAAAACACAAAGTTGGCAATCTTTAATAACATCAGGCCTGACTAACATACAATATTATCAATAATGACATATGTACAAATATTATTTGGTTTATGAACATTCTACAGATTGCATCTTATGTTATCAAAATGGTTATATTTTAAAAACAAATATTTATGTATAAATTATACAAAATTAATTATAGTAGATTCATGCATTTCAAATAGAATTTAGAATTTACATTGCTTTGCCCTCTTTTAAATTAGATTTATTAATACAAGAATTGTGTTTGGACTGGCTGCAGCTAACAGTTTCTAATAATCATATTCTGTTCCATTTTTTAAAGAAAAAATATATTAATGCAGACTCAGAGCCTTATTCATATCCTCCGACCTTGAAATAATAATATCCTTACATACTTAAAAATAAAATTCTTAAACATAGTAAAAACATACATACTCCAAAGAATAAGTCCTATTTAAGATCATAACCAGTATCTAATTCCGTACTCAAATTATAAAGCTACGGTATTCCAATCTAAAGTCCTGAAAATGTCATCATACGCATCAATTATGAGCAATTCACATACAGTACTTACAATTGGTCATTTTTTGGGTGGCTCACAAGTTATGTACACATATTATGTTTTATGTAATAAATATTTATGATTTGCCCATATGTATGTATGATATGGCACAACTACGCCCATTTATTGGCAAATCACAGGTACTTTATCACATAGTTATGTTACCTTTATATTGAGCCACCATAATATGAACATTTTCAACTTAATGACATTTAAGAGGTAAAATAGGTTTACTGTGGGCAACCTAGCCAAGAAAATGATTTATAAAATACCAACTCATCATGGTCATCTGCGTCTTTTTCAAATTTTACCGGAAATAATATACAGACAATATATAAAATATTTATATTTTATCTTTAAATGAATTTCTTGAACAGGGACATTTTTTTAAATATATTCAAAGTTCAAATTTCTATCTTCTTCAATATATAACTACAATAATAATAGTTTTGATAGGTTTATTCGGGTGTAACTTGTACATAGATGAACAAATAAGTATAGTAAATAACATATAATATAAAAATCATAAATTTAAATAAATTAAAATTAATATTAAATATTTTTTGTAGATTGTAAATGGCAGTTGTTAAAATGAAAATAACATTACCAACAGAATGAATGTTCTAGTTATTGGTACAGTTCAGTACTCATAAATACGAGTTTCACTGCCATACAGTATCTCATTAAGGATATGCCATGGTAGAAAATGCATTATTTATGCATTTTTAAGATATAGCACCATCTGTCATACCCTCAGAAAGTCAAACAATGATAAGCTAATTTTAGTAATCAAACAATACAATGCAACAACAATAACTTCCAAACAGATCAAACAATATTACTACAAACATCATTTAAACTGGTTATCAGCTAATTTAGTGGCAAAAGGGGTGCTCACCTTTCCCCTCCCTCCTCCTCTCCCCCTGACAGCAGCCAAAGAAAATCACTAACCAGTGTAAAATAATTTAAGAGATAAAAATTCCGAAGCATCCTGGAAACATAGGTCCTAAACCCCACACAAGGGTTCACCCCAAAATCTTCCTCGCTTGATCACAGATTCTTTCCCCTTCGGACTTAAGGTTCTTTAAGTACCATTTGCACCACCCCAGAAAAGATTTTCTGGATCTGCCACTGAGATGTTAATGCAAAGAATATAGGAATTAATATTGATGACTTATGAGATGAGGATGGCACAAAACAGAAGTAAATGGAGATCCATGACAGCGAAACTGCTTACAGCAGACAAATCAATCAATCACAGGTGTCCTTTAATTGGTAAAGACAAATTTTCACTCATTTTTAATTGCCTGTTAACATTGTAAATCAAATAGCCATTTTCCCAAAAAATTTAAATATAGTACTATTGGACAAAAAGAATATTTTCAACTTTTAACTCAACTTAATAGTTAAATAAAAGTAATTCAAATCCATATCTTAAATAGTTGAACTCAGACAGAAGGCCTATATCTTAGAGTAAAAACAAAATATCAAGTACGAAAAAATGCACATGCCAACTTAAGAGACACAACTGTGAAAGGTGTCACCAAGTAATGGACGAAATAGATCAACACAAGAGTATAACAAATCTCAGAGGCAAATCCTGTTAGCTCAACAAATCTATTTATTTATCTACAAAACCACAAGGGGTACTCAGAGACAGCAAAAAAACACGAAGAGGGCTTTACCTAGCAGCCGATGAAACACTGCAGATGTAATCATGTGACAAGCAACATAGATGGCACCAATTTTATTTATCGAAGAGATGAAAACAGCAAACACTTTACACAACACAAATAAATACTTCTAGCCTAAGGATGTATTTTTCCCAAAAAGGTAGAATGTGACATAGAAATTTAAAAAAACAAACACGTATTTGAACTGCATTGTAAAATCAGGAATTTGAAACTGAAATTAATACCGCCAGAAAAAAAGTAATCATGAATTTAATGCATTCTAAATTATTTTTTATTTTTATGTAGGAATGTGGATTCATAATACATGATTGCTCTTGATAGTGAATGAGAGACTTGGCAAATGACCACATTTTATTTCAACTGACAACAAATCTTACTGTCGGTACAAAAACGTAATCTAATTTTTATGGAGTAATTTTTACCGCTATTGCAAACAGATACGTGACTGCAAGTATTATATATTCATACTACTACGAGTTTTAATGCAAATTGGCTTCTTTCTTATACTAAACTTATTAACATATTTTCCAGAATGGAATGAATAGTGACAAAAATGTGGATAGTACGTGAAAGTGAACAGTCAGTCACACATTTACATTTTACATTTGAAAAAAGACTGACAAGTTCGTTGCTGCAAGGTTTCAGTGACAAGTGCTTATGAGAGATCCAAAAATTTGCCTTCTGTTTCTACTGAATTTAAAAATGCTCCAACCCCTGTATTCTCGTGCTAAGATACAGATACGTACACATTCCTAAGTGAAAAATGATATTCATGTGATCATACAGTACAAACACAAATCATACATAGAGTACTACAGCGTTACGTCACGATACCATGTGATACTACTCCGTTGCTATCTTTGCAAAAAGAGTTCAACCGGCACCATTTTCTCCACTGACAAACCATTGATCCCAATTTCTAACGTAAATATTAAGTATCTTACTTTTTCTTTGCAAATTTTAATTGATGATTAAATGTGTGTTCGATAACTAATATAATGCGAGCTTTCGTGTTTTTAGTACATTTTGATGGTAAAATATTAGATTTTTAAAATGCCTATTCCAGAAAGCCTATGAAGTCATTCAGATGTAATGTACGGTGACCAACGCGCCACCTGGCGTCATGACGACACAACTGTGGTACTCTATACAGTATGAATCGAAAATCACTGTCACAGACTTAATACCATTAAATACACTGGGATACAATCCCATACTCTTTTTTCATATTCAAGTTTATGCACAAGGGACAAACAGCGAACTTAAACACTCTTCTACGTAGCAAATCCCTTCACAATTTAAACATAAAAGCCAGGTACTGTACTCCCTAAGCCTGTAGGTCATTCGTTGATTCGATTCTATGGAGAATAAAGTGCCAAGACATGCACGGAACACATCGTTTTTAAGTCCATCTATTCAGACTGCCATTGACAATCAGTAGGCGGCATCCTGTCATCTTACACTCAGAGGGAGTGGAGTTGGATTCGTCAGAGAATTGTAGGACGGTTGTATGATGCAGTGTGTGCCCTAGTGATGCGCCATGTTGTTCACAAGATAACGGTGCGTTATTTCAGAACGGACAACTTAGATGACTAAACCCAGGGCCTCGAAGGCGTAATGCATTCAAGATAATGTATAAATTAAAAGAAATTTTAAAAAATCATTTTCCAAAAAAAGTTTTAGTAAATCTGATTGAAATTTTAACTGGTTTAACTCATCCACAAAGCACACTTCCTGCCAATTTACAGCTTCCTGGCATAGATATTATCCCACAATCTTCAGTTCCTTCATTCCCCACTTTTCATACACTTATCATAAAATCTGTCAATCTTGACATCTTCCTACACTTGCACTTACATGGTTTTAATGTGTGTTAACTGAGACGACTATGTAAACTTAACTTGATATAGCTATCTCAATCATTAATAAAAACGTATAATGCTAAATTCTCCAGACTTTCAATTCATACATTGCACGTCATTGAATAAAAATGAAAATAATAAACCTTTATTAACTGGGGTTGCATAACATATTAGAGAGGTTTCGCACGCGAACGAAAACATGTACACATACGTTTATCTATCCATAACAGTTCATAGCCATTCTGTGTTTTTTGTAATCACAACGTAATTTAAGCGTAGCCTAGGCCTTTAGCTCAGTAGGCCTAGTAGTATGATATTCATGCTTCTCAAAGTTTTATTAGTACAGTATGTGTAAGATTTTAGAAACTGAAATTAAAAATTGTAGCTGAAAAATACTTCCTTTGTTGCCCAGAAATGTTGGTTATTTTGTGATAGGCCTAGGCCTACACAAAATCCTGACACCACCATGGTCAAAGCACCGACGTTTTGATACCCCAAAATGAGAAGCAGCCTATCGTAATTTGCTTCAAATGTCACAATAATGGCACTTACGTATTCAAAGATACACTTACGTAAAATGTGAAAAAATAAGAACGAGAAATCCAAAATTTCCTTACGCGTTTTTCACTTACATGTAGTGAGCGAGATATGCGTGTCGTCCACACGTTTAGTGGATAGCAGCCGGCATATCCGTCACACTAACCGTACGCGTGCGAAACCTCCTTATTAATAGCCCATATACAGTTTGGATAATAGTTCCATTTGATAAAAACATGTTACATTCCTAAATATGGTCATGATGACATCACATCATGACCATATATATGCACATCATGACTATATATGGGCATATTTTTTGTCAAAGAAAATTTCATA